CGGTGTTAACTTGCCGATCTTGTATGGAGAGGGCGAGACGAGGACATTTCTGAAGCTTCAAAACAAAATCATGAAGACAACGGATGATCAATCTATTTTTGCGTGGCGCTCCGCCTCAGCTTCAGCTTCATCCGAGTCCCATGCCTCCGACTCAAGTCTCTTCGCCGACACTTCCAAATGCTTCGCCGACTGTGGTGATGTCCAACAAATTCCTTATGACCTGTGGTCAGAGTACTGCGCCAAACATTTCCGTTCGGAAAATGTAGCATATCCTCTGCTGGACAAAGTTCCTTCTTGTAGGGGCCTCCGCGCTATCCTGCCTGTGCGACAACGAGGAGATGGACTCGATGCACTTCTAGCCTGTGCACGAAGTCCTGCTGTCTGGAATGGCTCCGAATACATGGCGAACGTGGACAAAACAGATGCAAACAAGGCAGATCTAATTCAATGTATCCACCTCCGGCAATCCTATCATGGTTATGAACGGGTAGACAAAAACCATCTGGAAAGCGTCGGCGTCGACAATTTCCGGAAATTCAGCCTTCAGGACATCCATATTTGTGCCTCTCGATCGTTCCTGGGTGCTCCATCTCATCGGAAATGGCTCGTAAATAGTCTTCTGTGAGAATTTGCTTTTCTCAGCTGTTTCGTTTGTCTTGCTAACTTTCCTTCCGCTCAGCTATATCATTTCACCTTCGATTTTGTTCCTTCTGTACCAATCGCGTAAGGCTTCCCTATGATCTCTTCTTCCTTCACCAGGTAGGCGCTTTGTCTTTGCCGACGTTGACTGTTCCTGATTTTCCACCCGCTCCAGTGTTATGTCGTTGCGGACTTGTTTGTTTTTCGATGTGGATGTAACATCAGGCATGGGATAGTGTAGAGTGCAGAGCGATCTGCTTCGTTTCTTTCTAGACTGGCGCCGTGTCTAGGTGCTTTCTGTTTCTGAACTTACATCCCCAATGCGATGGCCTACTCATGTCTCCAAGACACCCATGATCATACGAGTCGAGATTATCGAGGCTGAGCTGGTCCAGGATTTCGCCTCAGCCAATTCTTCGTTTATGCGTGAGCTGGCGTTTATGAATACTCCAATGAGTGAATCTTCTGTTTGACTGTCATCAAACGCCGAAAATCGGTACCGTGGCCTACTTCCAATATACGGCAACAACCCTACGAAGATCTGCCGTGGTGTCCACGAGCAAGGGGGCGCAAGAACGCATATGAAAGACACTCAAAGGCGCACGCGGACATCGGAGGGCCGATGCAATTAGTGTGGCCCATCAGCAAAGCCGCCGCTTCCTCCGAAGCAGCGTGAGGGGAATTTAGTCCGGAGTATCCATTAGTCCGTGTTCCACTCTACATAATGTAATTTGTTTCCTTGTATAGTCACAGGTCATTCAGAACTACATGCCACGTACCACAGATGGAAGTCAAATGCTCTACAATTGGCTTCGGTTCACTACCTGTGTGTGCACTGCTAAATATTAGTCTATACACTTCACACTCGAATTCGAACCTGCGAATCAGCCCGTTCCCAAGACAAAGAAAAAAAAGAACTAACAGCCCAACCTACACACGATTTTACGCCCTTGTTAGCATGCAGGGGGCGACAAATTCACACAAAAGCGCCACGCGAAACCTTGACCAATTTCATCGCGTCCGCCGTCTCCCCCGCCCCCAACCGCAACATCTCCCAGTCTACCGGGTCGCTAATCTTCCTCGACCGTCCGAAATCGATCAACCTAAAACTATTCTGCGGCTCCATTTCGCCGATAGAGTTGTCACGCTGGATAGGCCACTGTGTAGGTAAGCCTCGCTGGACGAGGACGTTCCGCTCAAAGATCGACTCGTGTAGCCATCCAGCATCATTGAATCGGAGGAAGAGTGAGGCACATTCTTCGCGGTCGTCTTCTGAGAGGGTGGAGGGGTTGATGGGCTGGCCGCAGTGTTCCAAGAGGAGGATAGGGCTTAAGTAGGGTTTTCTAGTGGTAGCCTTTTCCTTGTCTACGTTCATGGTATTTTTGTCCGACAAAGCCACCTCTTCGACAGGTACATAATAGCCGTAAAACTGTGGCACCAGTGCATGCAGGGGAACCGGACTACAGATCGGTTTGATCAGATTATATCCGTTCCAATGTTGAAAGAAGTGATCGGGAAACTCCTGATAGTTCGCCGCTTCGCACGTAAGGTGAGGGTCATATGGAATCGAGAGTTTAGCTGCAACTTGGAAAACAGATGTACGCGGAACGGGGCTTTCACGGAACACGAAATGTGAACATTTTGTGGATGGATCTGACGGGGACTGCCAGCGTAGGTTGGGGCAATAAACCCGGAGAACGGGTATTTGGTCACTGGAGGTGGACGAACTTGGGGTCGTCTGCTTTTGTCCAGATTTGGATTGCGGTCCGAGTACCGTGATACGTTCTGAGTCGAACTCCTCATTGGGATCTGGTGAAACAAACATATCATCCTCCGGTTCTTCAGGCCCACCTTCTTCCTCCTCTTCCGCTGTCGGAGGTACCTCGCGCCCCGCCTGACGCATCATCTCGCGCCACCGTCCGGACCGCTTCAACTTGCGCACTTCCTTTTGGAGTTCCTCAGAGACGCAACTTTGGCATAGCTTGGGCTCCGTGAACAAGTCCCGAGGCAACTTCCACTCGGCTTTGTACACGATGGAATGATGACCCTTGCCAAGTTTCTCCACTGGTGAGAGGTACAGATGCGCCTCTTCAACACGGGTTGGTGCAGATGGTTTCGTTGGTAATGCCACTTCGTATGCAGGTTCGCCCCGGGCACACCCATCCTCCGTTGGCATGAACCTAAACACATCCAGTACCCTCTTATTCTTCCTCACACTTTCTTCCGCTGTCTTTTTGGATTCTTCGACGGCTTTGAGCATTGATGACCCAAAGCTGAGTTTATAGAGATAGACCCTAGGGCGCATATTGATCCATGATGTTTTGTCATCGCTTCTATCTCGGCATTGGTCAGTGTTGAGAAGAGAATACGGGTCGTGGACGTAGAGTGTTTCGGGTAAGAGGTGCATCGGGATGCGTTCTTGGAGTAGGACGGGTGGATAGGGGTTAGCAAAAGGGATGAATGGCCATGGGGGAGGATAGTGTGAAGGATGGAATGGCGACGAGAGAGGTCGGTCAGGCATGAGGACAGAGGATATACCATAATCCGGTTTTTCTGCTTTGTCGGTTCCCGTCTTTCCATCCTCTTCATCCTCTTCATCGTTGTCTGCGTCTTCCTCATCTTCATTGTTGTCTTCATCCTCTTTGTTGTTGTCTGCGTGTTCCTCATCTTCTTCATCGTTGTCTTCATCTTTCTTGGCAGCAGCAGCTATGGCAGCGACCCTTACCTCCTCCACTGCCGAATACACCCCAAACAATGGTGTGCGCGCCTCATAGCACTCAATCAGTTCTCCCGTGCCAGCAACAGGGATCTCACACGGGCCCTCCTCATTATCCGCCCATTCCAACTCATCTTTGCAATGTTCGACCTCGCCGTTCTCGCGCATCGCAGCGGCGATCCTACTCCCGCTGAGATAGGTGATAATACCGGGTTCACTGGGAATTGGTTTGATGGAATAAAAGTCGTACAGAGTGGCTCCCCATGAGCGGATACCGTTGGGAGCTACTTTGCCCCCTGGCATAAAATTCGCCTCGTACCAAAAGAACACCTTGCCTTTTGGGCCACGTGGCCAGACGCGGAATACGGCACGTCTTTTTTTGGAGTGGACGATTGAAGACGGACGTGTGGCGGCGGCGGGGACGGTGTGAAGGTTGTTGTTAGAATTGACGTAGTGCACGCCATTGATGTGGACGGGACCATCATCGTTCTTGTCGCCGTTCACTGTGTCAGCCGGCTTGCTAGCATCTTTGTTGTTGCTGGCTTGCTCAGTTTTGGTGTTGGCGGTGGGCTGATCATCATTCTTTTCATCGGCTTTTTTATTTTCCGTGACAGCTACTACCATATCGCGATCACCTGTGACAAGTTCATTGTCGACATCACCGATCAGGAACATTTTACTCACCGTCGGCGTCAGGGGCTTTCTCAGTCCCCGCCACAGTAACACGTGTGGCGTCGCGAGTGGCGCCGTCATCGTCGATACCAATGGATCTGCATGTGTTCGAGCGCGTCAAACAACGAATAGAATGGCACACTCGAAAGCGTACCCTTTGTTGGTATCGGCATCAGATGCGTGTGTACCAGTCAACACAGCCTTAGGCTCGGACGACGCGCCCACATCTCTACCAGATTCTTCAGGGGCCCCTACGGCGGGTGGAACGGTGGGCGAAGCGCCGTCGTCGGTAGGGGTATTGGCATGGACACCAGTGGTAGCAGTGGTACTAGGGGTTGCGCCGCCAAGTGGCGTGGCCAGTACTCGTCGTTTTGCAGGGTATTCCTTCTCCAAAGCACGCTTGGCTCTATCGGTAGTAAGAAATCCGCGTTTCATGGCGTATTCGAATGTGGTTTGTACTATTGTCAACAAGTCGAAGGAAACGAAACGAATGTAGAGGGGGTTAGTTGGAATAGGAGTGGCGGCTTATGTCAGTACAGGGGGTACACAATATTAGTGTTGGTATATCGAGACCTGGTCAAAGCACTACGACGACGAAGACGATGATCGAACACCTTTCCACCATTTGCCCACCTTGGCAGCGGCGTATCGTGTACTCTTGGATACACCTGCACTCACGACCCCTTTCAGGGTCTGCACCGTCGCAGGGTACCGCACGATCTTGCACATCTCTGTACATGCGTTCATTAGCCACGCAAGAGAAACAAGAAAAGAACACACACCCTGTTGCAAAATCACTGGCATCGACTCATCGCCTGCTACACGTATCCAATACGCAAGCTCATCCGCCTCTCTCGAGACACCACTTCTCTCCTTCATACGCGCATGCACGCGATCCAACAGTCCCTGGGGTAACTTTTTCATGTGTGCTACCCTCGCTTGTGGACTGACATCCTGCTCGACGACATCCGACCCTGCTGACCACCTCACCCCCGGTAGTCCCTGTGCCAACCTCCAATACAGCTCTCTGAACTGTCCCTCCTGTCTGTCCACCACGTTCTTCACCTTGTTCCTATTCTCGGCGGGTAAGACCATCCGTGGATCGCCCATATAACTAATGGACGCGATGCTCATGAACAAATCGCGAGATGCAAATTGCGATGGGAGCATTAGCAGAGCGGTGCGTAGTGCTGAGGTGAGGTTGACTTGTTGCGTGAGACGTACGCGGGCGTCATCTTTGATTATTCGGAGAGGTTTGTGCATCCGACCAGCAAGATAGAGCGTTCTCCAATTGAGGAGATCGGCACAGAGTGTGTCGACAGATGTGACGCCGTACTTGATCGTCTGTGCATTCGGAATGACACATACACCGTCGTCGCATGTTACATATTCAGATATGCGGAGGGACTCACCACATCGTGCATTGGCACGTAAGTATTAAACCATACTCCTGGTCCCATCTCCTGGACCTTGGTAACGAAAGACGACCCCAACATCCGCGCATGGAGAGGGTAGTGACCAGGGTACTGATGCATATTGATAGAATGCCAATGGTCTGGATGGTTCACCGCAAAGATGAAATCGAGCATCGGTTTGTCCGCTCTGCTCTGCTTGCGTTTGTCCTCGTCGAGGTGGTCATATCCAACCTGTCCAAATACGCCTGAGCCATATGCAAATGCATACCGCACGGGCGCATCGAACGAGCGTACTATCTGCTCGAGAAGCGCCCGTGTTGAGTCTGAAACGGGGAGAAGCTGGTTCCGGCCAAATGTAGCTGGGAGGCCGAGACCCCGGCCACTGAGGTGGGGATGTGTGGGGTGCCGGGGGTGATTTGGGTCCGTGCGTGCGTAGTCATTCGACGAGTGGGTTGGGGTGCGACGTGGAATAGGGTATGACAAACGTGATGGGCGGGCTTTGGTGTCTTGTGAGGCAGGCGGAGGTGGTGGACTCGGCTGGGATGACGACGCCGGTGGGATTGGTGGACCCACTGCAGACTCTGACGTCGTCGTCAGTGTTCGCCTAATGTAATAACTACGGGCCACTGCCGTCAACGACGACGCTCCCAGTCTGGTCATTCCTTGTTGTTTCCCCTGCTTAGATTCCTTTGGTTGTCTCGGAGTGAAAATGAAGGAGGTACTGGCACGTGATCTTGGACAATGAGTGATATACAGGCTTTCAGCATACAAAATATGTAACTCGGTATATAAAAGATTTCAACATGTAGAAACCCTGTCCTGCAGAGAAAAGAGAAAGAATACAAGAAAGAAATACATGGTAACACATATATGACCACATAAACACAACAAGAGTTCACCACGAGAAGAAAAAAAAAATCATACCCCAACCCTCCCACTCCACAAAACCCAGAATGGATTACAACACAGGGGGAACCATCCTACCGCTTTGATGCATTCGCATACGGACTCTTCGGTTTCGCAGCATCAGCAGCAGCTTTCTGAGCGCGTAGAGCAGCGCTTTTATTGACGCGAGGGGCAATCGTCGGCGCTTGAAGACTGCTTGGACGACGCGAGCGAGATGTAGGCGTAGGCGCAGTGGGGCTAGCCGCGTGCGGATCGTCAACGTCTACAAAATACGCATCGGGATCGCTGAGGTAAGCATGGCTGTTAGAGGGAGAGGACGTCGTGTTCGAGGTGCTCTGAAGACCGTTCGTGCCAATCTCAGAGCCAACCCCGACTCCGGGAACACGAGACGCAAAACCCGCTTTTGTTATCGCGTACCCCCCGACTTGAGAAACCCTGGAGGACGCCCGAGAAGGTGGAACCGTCGATTGAGATCGAGCTGAACCGATATTGGTGCGGGAATCCCTATAAGCACTCATCACAGACGAACTGCGTGAATATGCCGACCCCGATCCGGGGGTTTTGGGTGCCGTAGGTGTCCGGACTTCATACCAGGCATGATCCATCAGAATAAAGCAACCAGTGAAGAAATCTTAACGACAACCACTCACACATGAAACTACTTGGCGGAGGCGCACCCTCTTTCCTGAGCGCTGCACTCCTATTCGTGCGCGGTAAAATGGAAGGCGGTTGGGAGACGCTACAGACCGAAATCGTTTCACTACGTTTATGACCCGGAACACCCTCGAAGATGGCCTTCTTCGGCTGCGGGGCTTCAACTTCAATTTCGGCTCCGTTGCCCTCTCCCGCAGGCGTAGTGGTGGAAGCGCCTGTATGTGGACTAACAGACGCTCTCGACAGATGTGACCCATTTCCTCCGTTCACGGCTTTACCACCGCTTCCGACAGAAGAGGGACCCTTTTTACCAGGTGGGGTAGCAGGCCTCTCCAGACCCAACCTCAGGGCTGCCGCCTTCGTCAATCTCGGGGCTACCACAGGTGGTCTTGTCGATGCTACACCAATCGTCTCGGCTCGCTTGTGACCGGGTACACCTGCAAACGTCTTCCGTGCTCGCTCCTGTGCATCATTACTCACGGCATTCTCTTTGTTCGTGTAGGTAGGAAGACGGCCTGTGCTAGCCGTTCCCATGGTACTAGGTCTGGGTCTAGGTTTGCCAGGTGAGCCGGAAGAAGTTGCCGCCAGTGATTGTCGTAGGAGAGCTGCTTTAGTAAGGCGAGGAGTGATGTCGGGCGTGAGATGCGTTTTGGGGAGTGCACGAGCGCGGAAGGGTGACTTTCCCGCGCCGTTGGAGGAAGAGTTGGTGTTGGAGGTGCGATCGCTGAGCGCGAGGGTTGAACGAGCGTCCATAAATGCAGGTGCGCGCGTGTTGGATGGTCCAGCGGCACTGCCGTCAAACGTGGTCGGATCTGGTAAAGCAAGACGGGCTTCTAGACCGAATTGGAGTGCTTCTAGCACACCAGAATTGATCGAGCGTATAGAACCTGCATCGAACTCTGGCACCATCCTATGAGCCTGTCTATATTCATTTGGTACGTGTTGTCTCGCTATTTCAGCGTGTCCTCCCTCATCTACGAGCGTCAACCCTCCTTCCTCATCCGGTATGGGCGGTAGTTCAGTTGGAGGGAAGGGCGGGCTCGATGCGAATAGAGCTGCTATCTGCATCTCGACTTGGGCATCTGTACGTGCGGCGATGAGGTCATTGTCGAAGGAAGAGAGGAGAGTGAGCAGGGTTTGGACGGCGGGACGAGAGTGGTCGAGAACATATACCCAGACTGGACCCCTGTGTGCGTAGTGGTTCTTCAGTTGAGCATGGACACACGGACGCGAGATGGAGACGGAAGAGAACGCGGGGAATTCAGACTCACTCGCTGAGAAAGTTGGCGTCCGAGTCGAACAGTTCGTAGAACGTTTCAGGATCGGTTTCAGTATCGAATTCCATTGGGCGCTCTTTGACAATCTACGTAAGAGTATCGAGTGTCAACATGTCGTATATTCGAATTTCGGGAGGGGGAAGGAAGAAACGTCAACGAACCTCAAATTTGGCCTCCAAGAGACCATGTTCGATGTCCAGCCTGCGCGGGACAGCGTGCGTCTTGATGATGGCGACCGTGCGCGACATGGCTGCTAAAGTATGACTTAGGGAGCGGAGGGCGTTTGGGAAGGGAATAGGAAGACACGTATACACAGCAACTACGATGGAAAAGAAAGAGAAATTTGAAAAGCGTGAATGTTTTGATCGAGTCGAGTGTCTGTTGAAACGTTGATCAGCCGGTTGCGATGGCACCGCGACGCGACGCATATTTGACGCGACAACCGCCATCTCACGATCATGTCGAAAGCACGGCACCGGGACTGATGCTGATAATAATGCTCCCTGCAGTCCTAGTGTCGAGCCTATAATCCGTGCACGTCGTCCATGTTGACTTACCCCCACCTCGTATCACTGGTATGAGTTAATATTGTGTATTCATGACTGCAACGATCATGATGAACGATGAGGAGGCGGGTCTCGCAACCGACTGAAATGAAGGTACTGAGCATCGCATTATGATATCACTGCAAGTATTCGTCGGAATGAATATGGTGACCCGCATCACGGCAACCCTACTTCATTATAAAACATTGAACTCGGATATAATACAGCTCGGACTATCACCGGATCTCCAGTACCTTCATACCAATATCCGTCAATGACATCACCTCCCGTCGGGGAATGAGAATCTCCTCGTCAGTAGCCACTCTCTTGTATGTATCAACGGACTGTTTCATAAGTAGCAACGCTCTGAATGGATGTTCGAGATGGACGACTAGTCGTAACGCCCGAGTGTAATTGTTCCATTCCGGTCGATTTGTCTGAGCGAGGAGTTCACGAATCCAAGGGTATACAAGCACTACCTCACTCTGCGCCGTGAATGCCGTGCATGAGGTTTTGAACTGAAATTGGCCTGATGCTGTTGCCTGTGCTTGACAGACGATATTTTGACTAGAAGCTGAAGAGGCTTCATCATTTCGCGCGGTGTATACTGAGACAGAAAATATGATGCATGGCAGGGTAAGTCGCCGATGAGTGAAACCTATCGAGCCAAGGGCGGAAAGACTTTCGAAAAACATGGTGACATCCCGCTGCGGTAACAGGACCTGCAGTTTCGCAGCTCTCGCTTCCATCTCATTCTCCGGAATGGGTGGGGGAGTGTAGGGGGGATTTTGGTAAGCCGAGATCTGAGCAGGAAGGCAACTGTTGAACTGCGACGACTTCCCAACCCAGTCTAGCACAGCTTTGGCGTCACCTTCCCGGTGCACAATCTCCTGCAAGAGAAGCCCCAGCGCATCCTCAGGGTCGCGATACTCGGGAATCAAATCACTGCTGAAGATCCCAATCAACGCGTATGCGATATCGGCTTTCTCTGTGGCTTCGCGAGTCGAAGCTAGACGGAGCTTAGTTCGGATGCTAAGCGAATGCGGGGAGAAGTCAACGAGGGTGTCTTGGGTAACGTCAACAGCCTCCGCCAACTCCCGCATGATGTCAGGTGATTCCTTGTGGTTGGGCCGAGTGTCCTCCCCATAGAGTTTCCAGTCCCTGTCGTAAAAACGGACGGATTTGGGTGCGAGGAGTTCTTGGAGTGTCCAGGCCCGTGTCATCCATCTATTATTCTTGAGAGTGGACGATGTGGGTGCACGAGCGAGGAGTATGATAGTAAGAGCGGAATCTCTGTACCAGTTGAACATAGAACGTATTGACTTCCTGTAAACAGTTTCGATCGTCTTATCGATGCAACAGGTATCGCTCCACGCCCATAGGTATCCTTCGGGGTCATCCCGAGCTCTCTCGCAGAAACAACGAAGTTTATGCTTTAGCGGGTGCGGATCGAGCTCATAGACTGATTTTTCAGAGAGGTCTTGAAACGTGGGTTCTTTCCCTTCCCAAGTATGCGAAAACATGACGTAGCGGAAATATCTTGCTACCACCTTCTTGATGCGATTGCTGTCTAGCTCCGTGGACATGGACGAGACAAGTTCATGGAAGGTGTCGTCTGCTTTGAACATCCGGACACGAGCGGTCGCATCGCAGAGATTTCCAGTTTTGACATCGATGAGTACGAGCGGAGATATTTCGCAGATGGCTTTGATCTGCCCCTCAATTGTTTTGATTGTCCCAGCGTAATTCGAGCGCAACTCTACTGAAAGTAGTCAACACCCGGTTTTCAAGATGTACACCGAAGAGACTTACGGCGGATACTTGGATCGGCTGACTCTTCCACCTTTGTAACCATCTTGTCCAATATTTCGGTCGCCTCTCGATAACGGCGAAGAGCACGCAACGCCACATATCTTCTCTCATACCCCCACGGACACAACTTATCCATGTCGATTGCCTGCGAGCGTCGTGGGTTTAGGACTGTCTGACGAGGATTAGGCGAAGAAACCTATACCTGATTGGCATCTTCCAAAGCACCCTGCCAAGACTGTTTGAATGCTCTTGCCTTGCTCCGCTTGACAAGAAGACGAGCAGAACCGGGCGGGTAGCGAGCCATCAAGGTCAAGTCCTCAGTAATTGCCTCATCCACCACATCGCTGGCCAAATCTATTGCCGAGAAACATCTCTTTGCGAATTCTGGGACATACCATTTGAGTACATGGAGTGAGCAAGTCACACCCGAACCCACCCGATCCACAATCAATAACCCGAGCTTCTGGGCAAAGGTCTAGTGACACAGAGTACCAAGTGATGGCATCGTCATACTTCTTTCGGCACATGGCTTCGTCACCTAACTTCTCTAAAATTCGGCGGTAGCTATCAAGCAAGCGTAGCCACTTTTGAGGTCCAACTACTCACCGCAGATCCAACCAAGGTCCGCTTTCCTTAATTCATTCTCTTCGTCGAGGTGATTGTCGTTCATTTGGAGAAAGTTCATCACCTCTTGCGTGCGTCCGGAAGCAAACAGGGCTTGGCACATTAGGTGCTGAACCATGTGCACTAGATCGTAGATGTCCCAACCGAATACCTGTCAAAAGTGCATTGATGTGTTTATCATACATCAAGCACAGGCGGACGTGTCTTACTAGTGGTAGTGTCTTTGCTTCTGGAACTTGGAGAAACGGGCGAAGATCAGGTGCTTTCGCTAAAAGCCGTAGACCCTCGTTGTATTCCCCTCTCTGCATGTAATGCTCAACCAGGAGGAGTAGCTTGCGTGTCTGCCCAAATACATGGGATCCTACCAACCGAAAACTTTGCGTAAACACATACTTTCACCCACGGACAGGAGCAGGCGTCTTCCAGCGGCAAAAACTCAGCGACCCCTGTCCCATGATTTAGTTTATCACGAAGCTCCAGCTCGAACAAGGCGATGAACTAGAACCAAGAAGTCAAGAACTGAAAGAAGTCACAGGACACGCTTTCTACCTTGACGCACTCGACAAAGTTCTTGGCGTCACCATGGTGGACAGATGCAAAAGCGGCTATTGTTTCCGTTCGTTTTCCCTGCCCAATAAATGCCATAGCCTTCGCGATGTGAGCTATGGGTGGGATCTGAGCACCATTATTCTGTCCCTACGCTAGAATCAGTGGTCACGTCTCAGCTGGAGGGATGAGAAACTGACTCACAATGACCTCTCCAGCATCATCCAAAGCTCCATTCAAGTCCCCCCGCCGCATTCGAACGAGCGCGCGGTTAGCACGGGCATAGCAAACGAAATGCTGGTATCGTTTGTCTTCAATTTCCCTCGATAGGATGTGCTCTACTTGCTGTAGTTCTCCAACTTTCCAAGCTCGGTACGCCGCGGGACTGACATATGTGAACTGTCCAAGGTGTAACGGGTATCAGTAGACCAGTGTCGAAGAATCAGACATACAGGTTCCGAGTCACTCAGCAAAGGAGCGAGACGCTAAGGAAAGAAATGATACGAGATGAACTTGTGAAGGTTGTGTCTGCTTACGTGGAAGAAGTAGGAAGCCTCAACGAGTTTGGAGAGGCTTCGTATAGATATCTTCCTGTCAATTCCACTGCTGGCCAGATAGAGGTCGTCTGGAGAAATGGATGCTGAAACACATCGGTTGTACGAGCGAATGGGTGTGCATGCAGGGGTATTACGGATATCCCAGATGTCAACCGTTCGTCCAGGAGCCGAGAAGGAAACAAGGAATTGATCACTGTTGGAGATGCGAAGAGAACTTATAGCATCGTCCCCGGGACGAGGTTCCACGACCTTCGAGGATTTTTGAGTGACCGTATCAAAAGAACTAATTGAACCGTTGGAACAGCCAGCAAATAATCGTCGACCATCACTAGACCAAGCGAGTGAGTGCGTGGGTGAGCCATCAATTCGGATAGGTGCTAATTGATGCCCGGTACGAGCGTTCCAAATCTTGACACTACAACCCCAGTGAGCACAGGCTGATGCGATGTGGCTGCCGGCTGGCGAGAACTTGACTGATGAGACTGAGAATGAGTCGTGATGCATCAACGGGCCCGGCACCGGAGGAAATCCAGGTTCCCCCAATTTCCAGACTCGAATCTTCCCGTCGCTTGATCCGCTTGCGACGTGTAGTGAGGATACGTCCAGGGCTGTTATTATCCTTCCATGCCGCTCTGCTGCCTCGCAACTTTTTTGAAGGCTTGTGTCCCAAACCACCACCTTTCCATCCACGCCCCCAGTGACAATCAAATTTCCGTCCTTGGAAGAAGTAATAGCATTCACTGAAACGCCAAGATTCATCAGTTGCTCCTCCCCGTGGCCTTCTATGTTCCACATTTGAATCGTTTTTTCGGCCTTGCAGGCACATACTACATGCTTCCCATCAGCAAGGAAGACCAGGGACAGTATCTGCCCTTTGGGACCGTCGATTTGACACAACGCATCATCTTTTCTCCAAGTCAAGATCACAACCGCTAGCATCCGCGAAGTACAGAATTAGGCTCACCACTCGGCCTCTCTGAACCGTAATCTGGCGCTCTATCCTGTAGTACGGCGCCCTCGTTAAGAGTGTGGTGTCTCAGTTCTGGAATTAGTATACCGTCGTGGTCAGCTTGGAATGGGGAAATGGGTTGTTTAAACTTTAGATTACCCTCAGGTGGTTTCCGCCATTTGTTACTCGACTTGAAAAAATACAGACAGCAAATAGTAGCGAATAATGTGCATACGAAGGTTCGGGGTGTGTCGCCTTCAAGTCGTCGAGTGGGGCACTCGGCTTGTTCACAACCTGGGCTCGGCTCGAGCCCCATTACTGCAACATGAGAGCGTACGTGCTAAATGCATTTGGGCCTCGTTGAATCCATGCTTCAAGTTAGCGTCTATAGACGCTCCCACGCGGGCAGTTGGACAGCTATTTCCTCTCGCTCAACACGGGGTCTGGATTCCCTCACCCTTTCCAAGCCTATTCCAATTGATTTCCTCATCAATCTTTTTGATCATCTCGAGAACGTAGTCAACGCCCGGCTCTCAATAGGTGAACCGAAGAGACTTATGGAGGGTACTTGAATAAGTAGACTCTTCCGTCTTTGTAAAGAGTGTAATGCCACATATCTTCTTTCATACCCTCACAGACACGACCCATCCATACCAATTGCCTGCGAACGGCATGCATTTAGGACTGCCTGGTGAGGATTACGCGAAAGAAATCTTGACTTGGTCGGTATCTTCCAAACCATCATCCCAAAACTCTTTACATAAGTACTCTTGCCTTGCTCCGCTTGACGAAAACGCGGGTAGAACCGGGGAATAGCGAGCCATCAAGGCCAAGTCCTTCGTAATTGCTCCACATTCCGCATCGTTGGTCACTTCTATTGCTGAGAGACATTCCTTTGCGAATTCTAGAGCATACCACTTGAGTACAGTGGATGAACGAGTCATACCGAAACCCGCCCGATCTACCATCAACAGCCCGAGATTCTGGGCAAAGGCACAGTGGCACAGAGTACCAAGTGATATCATCGTCATATTTCTTTTGGCATATGGCTCCGTCACCTAACTGCTCCAAAATTCGGTAGTAAAACCACAGACCGCCGAGCCAACGAAGGTCGGCCTTCCTCGCTTCATTCTCTTCGTCGAGGCGATTGTCGTTTACGTGCAGAGAGTCCATCGCCTCTCGCATACGTCCAGATGCAAACAGGGCTTGACATATCAGTTGCTGAATCATATACACTAGATCGTAGATATCCCAACCGAATACCTTTTACAAGTGCATTAATGGATGTATCAAACATCAAGCATAGGTGGACGTGTCCTACAAGCGGTAGTATCTTCGCTTCTGGAACGTGGAGAAACGGGCCAAAATCAGGAGCGTTCGCTAAAAGTTGTAAACTCTCGTTGTATTCCCCTCTTCGTATGCAATGCTCTATCAGGAGGAGTAGCTGCGTGTCTGCCCAATTGAAATACATGAGATCCTACATGGGCAGAAACAGGCGTCTGCCAATGGGGGAAGCTCAGCGAGTTCTGTCCCGCAATTTAGTATATCACGAAGCTCCACCTCGAACAAGGCGACGGACTAGAACCAAGGGGAGAAGGACTGAGAGATGTCACAGAATATGCTCTTTAACTTGACGCATCCAGTAAAGTTGTGGGTGTCACCACGGTCGACAGATCCGAAAGCGTCTGTTACTTCCTCTCGTTTTCCCTGCCCGATAAGTGCCATAGCCTTTGCGATGTGAGCTGTGGGTGGGTACCGTTTGTTTGTCCACACGTAGAATCAGTGATCACATCCTACTCGGAGAGATAAGAAACTGATTCACCATGATCTCTCTAGCCTCACTCAAAGCTCCATCCAAGTTCTCCCGTCGTATTCGAACGAGTGTGCGGTTAGCACGGGCATAGCAAGTAAAGACTTGGTATCGCTGGTCTTCAATTTCCCTCGATAGGATGTGCTCTACTTGCTCCAGTTCTCCAAATTTCCAGGCTCCGTCATGCGCCGCGGGACTGGTAGGTGCGATGAGTATCAATATACCGGAGTTGAAGAATCAGACATACACTGGGCTCAGTGTGACTCAGCAAGCTTGGAGCAAGACGCTAAGGAAGATGAACTCGTGAAGATTTGCCGCTGCTTAGTACGTGAAAGAAGTAGGACGCCCCAGTAACTTACAGTAAACCACAGAGTGGCATTGGGTAAATAACCGTCTATAAGCCCCGCCATCAGAGGGGAAATCGGGCAGCTCCGAGCAGGCGTCCACTACGAGGTCTGGATTCATTCACTCCACTTCAAGCCCGCTCCAATGAGGGACTCCTTCCAGGATATATATGCAAAACGTCTGCAACATCCTGACTATGGATACCCTCTACGGATGCCAGAGCCAATGAGTACGCTCCCACAAAATTACCAAGACGATGGGCTTCAGATCGGGGATGTTGGCATTATTGATAGCAGGGGCCAGTTTGATGTCCTGTTCAACATTTGCAAACACAGCGACAACCCTCTTCATGATTCTCGCGGCGTACCTCGGAACTTCCGGCCCATTCAGCGCGGCGACATCAAGTTCAGTAACAATGCAATATCTGCTGGCCCCATCCACTCCCATGGCATAAAACAGATCCTCCAGCCCAACAAACCGAGGTACCCTTCGTAAGGCCGTCCGTAAACCATTTTCTTACTGACAGTGTCGCTCCAGGCCAGCCGATTATGAATTTGACTCGTCCACCCATGCTGGCGCTATTCTTATTCTGCCGCGCGGTGCAGTATCCGTCGAACTCTTATCACCAGAACAGTTTCGCGAGGTGGCAATGAAGAACGCGCTTGACTGGTATGAGTTTGCCAAAAAGCGCTATAACGTCCAGCATCTCGATTGTTCCCTCTACCTTATCACTGGCTTTTACAAAGCTCGCTCTTGGTCTCTCGGTTCATTTAACAACCCTAGGGATACTACAGGAAAAATCCTGGCCCGAAGGGATGATAACAATCCCAACATCTATCTACTAGAATTCACGTTTCCCGCCGATCGTCGTCACAGTCCCCCTGGTGACGACAGTGGGAGCATCAATCAAACTGTTTTCATAACTGGCTTCAAGATTACGGTCAGCAGTTGGCTCGCGGATCCCGTAGTTCTGAGGGTTACGGAATCGGAAACCATCTGGTTCACACTGGTTCGTCTGTTGAAGGCCTGCCTCAACCGGTTACGCGGTTTTTCAGGCGACCACAAACAGCGTGCAGCAATAAGTAAGCTGGAAAGTGACCGCTTGTGACTACCTGACGATCCGTTAACGGCGAACAGGTGTGGAACACAGCCCACAGTTATCACAGGCTAGCTTCACGGTTGCATTGGTCTGAATTCTAATTACTGACCCATTCGCCAGCCCTTTCATCCCTCCGACGTCATCAACCGTTTCCTCCTAAGCAAGGTCTGTCTAACATGATAACGTCGTGGTCGTTGGATTGCTTACGGCATCGGTCAGAATCGAAATGCTCAGGTTGCTATTACACATGATAACCAATGGATGGACATGATGAAGGTAGTTCGCTGTGGTGTATTCAACTCACTCATGTTTTACTCGTCCACTAGGAAGGATTGACGCATGAGGACCTTCTCCAAGAAGACCGCCTTGGATCGTTCTTGACACGATGCTATACTATCTCTGTTGACTCCGAACGTGAAAATCGTAATTTTTTTGTCACTGTAATTGTCAGTTACTGCTGATCACTCTTTAGCTACTGTATTTCTGCAAGGCAAAACGTGCGTCTTGTTAATTCACATATGTTTGCAGATATTTAAGAATGTAGACAGTGACAGCACCATGGACTCCGTGTTTCCCATCATTGGCCCACATGACCCATCACCCGAGCCCGCGATTTCGGAGCCTCCTGCTTCCGAGCTTGAGGTATCATCCTCACCTACTTCTGAGCTAGGAATATCACCGCCTACTACACCCGAGCTGGAACTGTCGTCCCCTCTTACATCCGAGCTCGAGTTTTCACCTCCTCCTACACCTTCACTTGATAATTCAAGTATTGTCATCACACGCATGTGCCCATTTTTTTTTCCAGAATACTTGGAGAGGACTGACAATTGTCTTGTAGGTATCCGTGCTCAAAACATATCCTCTGGCCTCAAGCGGATCCCAATTGGCTTTTATGTTGAAGTCCAATTCGATGGTACACAACGCAGAACTCAAAATAAGTCTATACGGCTGAATGATAGTATCGAATGGGAGGATGAAATTCTACTGTGAGTGTATCATTTCTGCTCACATATAAGTATTGACTGTTTCTAGGCCCTCTATATCGTTTGACAAGATCCGATTCACAGTTTATGCTTCCTTCGAGTTAGAACCGATGTTGGGAAACGGAGAGGCTCTCTATGCGTCTGAAAGTCATGTAGAGGAGTTGGTAGGTGGCACATATTGTGAGTGAACCCCTCCCTCTGAGTGTGGCACACCGATTTGTTAAATGCCAATATAGTAGTCACGTTCTCTCCGGGAGAAATGAGGACCGCAGCTCCTGATCCTTCACTCCTTATTACCCTAGGACGATGGTATTCTAGCCGTCTGGTAGTAGCCCCAAGCAGGGACGATAGTAATGTGATTGGACTTGTATGCACCCATGCTCGTTGGTTGACGATCTGTTATTGATAGTTGGACTTCGAAGAATCCGCGGACCTTATTTGCCAGACAGATTTAGGACAAGAAGCTCTCCTCCGCTACCACAATGAATACAGGAGAGAAGACCTTGAGAGTGCTGTCCAACATTTCGAACGTGCTTGGCGCAATTGTCCTTTAACGCAGCGATATAGTGCGGTGGTCCTTGTCAACCTCGCGAAGGCAAAGTTCATCAGCTATCAGACAAACCCAACGAGCACAGATCTCGACGAGTCCATCCTACTTTATCGACAGGCCCTCCATCTGCGCCGTCCTGGTCATCCAGACAGACCAGCGACATTACTGCAGCTCGCTCAAACTCTGTTATTTCGCTACGAGATGCAGGGATGCGATGAATCCGTTGCAGACGAGATCAACGAGATCATGCTCGAGTCCCAGGATTTCTCTAAACACAGCCATGAACGCCGAGCTGCGGATCTCGTGCTCGAAACGCTTAAGCAATGCAGAGTTGTAAACTCCGGTAACTTAGCCGAACTCGATGAGTTGGTCTGGAAATTGTACCATAGTGCGATGGTGCCTCCAGACAACCACTTTGATAGACTGCAACGATTGAACAACCTCAGCACTGCGCTGTGGAAATGCTATGAGGAACATGGCAAACTCAGTGATCTTTACCACTTGTTGGAGATAAACAGGCAAGCCTTGCAGCTACTCCCTAGTTGTCACCCTGACAGGCATCCTGGCCTAAGAGCCCTTGATGGTGTGTTGTGGAGACTAAGTCAGGGTGACGAGCTGCTTTTCTTTTACCCTAGGGTTCATTTAATCCCTGATCCTGACCCCACCATTTCCATATTTAGAAGATCCCCATGATATATATAAGATCATCTGTTCACATAGTCTCCTCTACTAGGCAGACACTTTGTAAGTTATGTATCCTGACAAGTATAGTTTGATTCCTTACTATATATTGGCATAATTACCTGTGCCAGTTTCAGATGCTGTGGACTTCCACACCAGTCCTCTGTTGAGGTCTAAAGAGTGGGATTTTGGTAAGAGTATCTAGTTGAATTGCTCATATGTATAGTGGTGGGGCCACGTCGGTAAATCACTTTTGCTGGCCAGAGCTGTCCAGAGCTGTCCAGCACTGGACAGATTCCCTAGGACTGCCAGCACACAAAGTGGTTTACTAATGCACCTCTAACCTGATACATTATCACCAATATCCAACATGAAAATGTCCCATGGCAACCCCCCTTTGGACTCTAGCCAAATGTGTCACATCCTTTATCATATTACTAGTGGAATTTGAAACTCACCCTGAGAGTTTAAAATTCTGTAAGTTGGTGTGTGGGAGCATGTGGCATATGGGGCAGAGGCTTCTCAATGTGTGGAAAGGAATCTAAAAATATCTAGGGGGGATGACCCCTCCCCTGATCTCTCCTTCCATTATTTCTTCCATTCCCCTCATAGTATCCATTGTGCTCTACAGTTACTCAATGGGAATCAGCAATTAGTTCTGCACACCATTCAACCCCTAATACCTGAAATAGTTTGACCCATAACATCAGCCATACCCCTAATGTCTTTGAGAGGACCCCCCTAGCATGGTATGACAATCTTGACAATGTCCCCACACTGCAGAAATCCAGTGTCAAGATTATGGTCCCAATGAAGCTACAGTGAGGGACAAAAGTGTTGCAATGTTTGTGAGGTGTGACTTGCTGCTGATGTAGCTCAGGCTATTCTGCACAGATAATCATGATACCTATACCATTGGAAAGGGGTGACTTTAGGTTTTCCAGAGCACTAAGGTTCAGTCAACATAACACAATACATGCCAAGATATACCCTATTCTTTCTGAAAAGTGCATTGCAACACTTTTGTCCCTGACTGGTGAAATAGCAAAAAAGTGACCTTTTGATGGCATGAAGGATGGGAAAATATGATTATGTAATAAACCACATGATCATCCAGATGATTTGTCAGCATGTAAACAATGACAAACATTGGACTTGTACCATTAACCCTCCCTCTTTTACCACAACTCATGAAATCATCTCTCTAGTTCACATGGACATTTTCTCAAGGAATTCTTATCAAATACTGGTTGCTACCACAGTGCCATCAGTATAACATGCTCTCAGAACCATCAGTCCCTTAAAAAACCTGCTGTCAGTCATTCCCTGGACTGTTTCCCCCCTATGCCTGATGTGTTCTGGGACTAATCAGTACTTGGAAGGCTGAAAATGTTATGGAGGTCAATCTGGCACTTCAGAACATGATGGACAAACCAGTCCCCTCTCAACCAATGCATGTCTGGCACAGGGACAGTGGTATCGAAGTTTGGGCAACATAAAATCCTCTTTACCCCTGGGTATCATCAGAAGGATATGCTACTGAACTGCCATGGAGGAGAATCCTGTGCTTCCATCTGGCCCTGAATATTGCCTTTAGTCACATATGACCAAATAATCCTTTCCCAGTCATCTACAGTTCAGATCAGAGCAAGATCTAGTGAAGCCTCTTATGGTGCTCAGAGCACAAGGAGGTTTTGTCTCACCCCAACTTCCATACCAGTGTTCCTGTGCCAGAAATGCATTGGTTGAGAGAGGACTGGTTTGTCCATCATGTTCTGAAGTGCCAGATTGACCTCCATAACATTTTCAGCCTTCCAAGTACTGATTAGTCCCAGAACACATCAGGCATAGGGGGGAAACAGTCCAGGGAATGACTGACAGCAGGTTTTTTAAGGGACTGATGGTTCTGAGAGCATGTTATACTGATGGCACTGTGGTAGCAACCAGTATTTGATAAGAATTCCTTGAGAAAATGTCCATGTGAACTAGAGAGATGATTTCATGAGTTGTGGTAAAAGAGGGAGGGTTAATGGTACAAGTCCAATGTTTGTCATTGTTTACATGCTGACAAATCATCGTATTTCAGAGGTGGAACTGGACTTAGAGAAGTGGAGATGAAACTCCATCAGGAAAAGAGGACTTCACTATAGGTTGTTTTTTTTTTTTTTTTTTTTTTTTTTTTTTTTTTTTTTGGCCTTTTATTGTCTTTCTGCACTTTTTGCCATCCTTTGTCACTTTATAACTGAAAAATGGCAAAAAAAAAGGACCAAAAGAAGCAAAAAAAAACCACCTATAGCAAAGTCCCCTTTTTCCTGAGTCCAGAGGGGACTTTACTGTTGATATTCATACTGATTATGTTGGAGTACTATGTGGCCTTATATATGATGTACATAAGAAGCAGCAATGTCTTCTGTTTTTTTTTTTTTTTTTTTTTTTTTTTTTTTTTTTCACTTGCATTGCTTAGGTAACCAGTGAACATGTCCCCCAAATGTCAATCTAATAATGCATCATTGGGGACATATCTTGATGCATTATGCAAAATGTGAACTCCCAGGCTGCCCAACTTGGGACCTGGCCAAATCTGATGCAACATTAGAAATATGCATGGTGAGGTCATGCATTATGAGAACATCTACTGTGCTACAATGAGGGGAAAGAGGGTAAATACTGATGGAGTGGAAGAATGGAGAAAAGCTGACACAATGGCTTGGAACCCTAACTGGAATGCAGGGTGGCAAGTCTGACATCCTGCTGTAAGAAAAGTCCAAGTTGCTGTATAATACAAGCTAGATGGCTTAGATAACAACAATTAAGTGAAGGGACTGAATTGTTCTTCCCAAGGGATTCTGGACTGTCAAAACTAGTAGGTGGGACTCTGTGCTTTGTAGCAGTCATGTTCTGTGGTGTCTGCAGCATGCTCCATGGTGTAGTACTGGTGATGCAAGTGGTATATGTAGTTTGTGCACAGTGGCTTGTGAGATGTGCTGTGTAGACAAAGTGAAAAGGAAACTTGTAGTGACCTTTCAAGTGCCAAAAGGTATCATTCTGTACCTAAGTACAGGGCTTTATAGTCTGGGAAAACCCAGAACCTAAGTAAGACAAGGTACAAGCAAAGGAAAGGCATGTGACAGCATGTACACATAGGACAGGCTGCAACAGGGGCCAAGGGTATACTACTAGCATAAAGGGAACAGAGACCATGATAAAGGAAAAGAGTCTGAAGGAAAGGAAGTGACTGGAACACAGCAGCCACAGGTATAGCAGTCCATGAGAGGGAGCAAGGGCATGGGAAGGTAGTGAGTTAGGTGAGAAGGTAGCATGTGTACAGTGGTGGATGAAAGTGGTCTGGGGACATAATGATAGTCATGGAATGGTCAATGATAGGGGCTTACACATCTAGGGAATGTGGATTCCTCGCATCTGTGGGGGACTTAGATGCTGACTGTCCCAAGTCAGCCACATGGTGCAGAGGATGTAAACAACAATGCCATGTGGTGATGGAGAAGGCATGGTGCTGAGGATTTGAGAACACTGGTGAATGCCATGTAGAAGCAAAGGAAGTGTGGTGCCAAGGAATGTAAGATGACTGTTGAATGCCATGTAAAAGTGTCCAGACCAATGACATAAGCACCTCATGGCCACTAAGTATATATTTGTTAGTGTGCTCAAACCTTCACATTGTTTTGATTCTTCCCCCCCATCAACTCCACTTTCATTCATACCATGTCTGCTAACCATCTCCCTTGCCCTTCCCAACTTGTTCACATGGCCACCCCTGACCCAATTGAAGCAGAGAAGGCCACCCTGAAGGAGAAGTTCATTGCTGTCTCCACAGCATTGGTCACTGAGGCCAGGTGCCTTCCTGATGATAAAGGGGAGCTGTGAGAGGAATGGGTGATGTGGATGCACAGGTGGGAAGAGAAGACAGCAAGTGCATGCTTTACTTGGGGCTCACCAGCTTTGACCCTTTTTTTAGGTCACAGTGTTTCCTATCATTAAGCATGGGCAAGAGCTGGGTGTCAACACCAAGGTAGCTGCAGTGGCTGAGGCCAATGAGGCTTATGAGAGGTGGGCAGCAGAGGAAGTTGCAGTGGCAGCACATGGAGGGGCTGATGAAGACATGCAGATGGGTGAGGAGGTCTTGCAGGACATCAGGGAGCAGCCAGTGGTGATGGAGGGACCAACAGTGACAGCAAAGATGTTGCATGTCAAGGTGTCCTCTCATCCTGTGTGGAAGGTAAGGGGGTTCAGTGTGTGGTACAGTAGGCTCTGACACCCAAGGTTGTAGCATTCCCAGCAGACAGTTGCAGAAAGAAAGGACAAGATCAAGCCAAAGGTCATTGTCCCATCCAGGTTGAGTCTCCACAAGGTGCCATGTGCACTGGCCCTGTGGGGCATATGTGTGATGGCTGGATGCAAATGAAGCAGGGGTGCAAGAAGTCAACCAAGGCTTCAGGGAAGAAAGCACAGGCAGGCATGTCAACTGGTAAGTAACAATCTCACCTCAGGGGGTCCAAAGCTAACAACCTGTGGCACAGTCCATGAAGGCTGCCAAGGCCAGCTCACTGAAGTGGGTTGTCAATGATGATGATGACAACAAGGTTGAGGTGGTCAAGAGCCACTTGTGTGGGAAGGTGAAGGCACCAGTGTGCAGCAGGCTTGACAGTAAGGTCATGGCTGACCTCTCACAATTGCTGAGGTTGTTGCAGGCTGAGGCCATGGAGTTGCAGGCAGCTTACCTTCACCTCCAGGTGCATGTCAACCAGCTCATCAAGGTGCTGGAGAGGATTGGGGTCAAGTAGGAATGATTGTCTTTAGTTGATTTCAATACATTGTCTGTTCCATACCCCAGTGCACATAGTGTGAAGTGTACCACTGCTTTCTCTTCTGTGTGATATTGTGATGCAAAGCAACATGAAGTGGGTGACCACACTCTGTGGGACAGTTCAGCCACAGTGATGTATGGTGTGGGGGGTACCACTTGACTTGTCTTCTTCATGCAACTTTTGACTTCTCTCAGCAGTGAGCCCTTGTAGCATGGTGTTGACAGTACAGTGTGATGGTTTCTTTGAGGGAGAACAATGGATAGTTTTGGAGGTAGTTGGGATGGTCTTTGGGTATCAAATGTAAGGAGATAGGAGAAGAATTGAAAAAGGAAAAGAACAGAGGGCACATGCTGACTGTGCATTTGAAGAAGAAATGTGTGGGGTAGTTGAGAGTATCTGCAGTATATGGCAGCCAAGGATGGCATCAGGGAGACTAGTAAGTGAAGTGTTGGGAGAGGCATTGTTTTAGTTATATACTTATTGGGTGTTGTGTTATTTTTCTGGATGGTTTTGGACTTTTTATTAGCAGCTTTTATGTTTTGTATGTTTTTTGAGTGAGAACTAGCTATCAGTAGGGTCACTGGATGAAACCTGTAATGAAGGTATGAGTTTTCAGTGTATGAAGCAGTCACTGAGGTGGAAAATAACAGTGTGGAAAATTTATAGTACTATAATTACTAAGTGGGTTGACATCAGAATTTAATTCCAAAGGTCAGGAGAAATTCTGAGCCCTCTGGATGAAACTCCAAGACACTACCATAACTCTGGAATGCATACTTGACAACCTGGGGTGGAACAGAGGTCTCCAGACAAAACCTGAAGTAAAACAGATAGGAAACAAACTGTGTTTGGTATCAGATTGAGTGAGTGGTATATGGGTCTCCCCTGCAGGGGATGTTGGATGCTGACTGTCCCCAGTCAGTGCAGAAGGTGAAATGACAGTAGCAGTGTCACACACCAAAGGTGTTGTGGACATGGTTACAGCTGACTCTGCCTAACTCATTGATGAGTTGTGTGCTATGCCATGCAGATGAAGACTAAATCCCTCATGCATAGAAAGACTGCTGGATGTGAGCAGTCATTCTTTGCACAAGAATGAGTTGTCAGTGCTAGAGAGAAAAGACCTTTTTGACTGTGTAGCCTTATAGGGCTGGTGAAACCTGTTGGAGGTACCCATAGTCTTGACAGGGATGAAGGGAGCTGTTTTTCTTCCCAACAAAGAAGAATGGAGTGGCTTGGGGAGATTTGGAAGGATGGATCTTTCCTTCTCAGAGGTTTTCTTCAATAAACTTTTCTGTGGACTCCCTTTCTGAGGGGGAGGGTGGGTATGCTTTAGCCACCTTGGGGATGAAGTCCTCAGCAAGGTTAATGGCATGATCATAGGGTTGTGATGGGGGAAGCACTCAATCAGAGGGTTTCTCAAATACAGAGGCAAACTCTTTATAATTGTCAGGGAGGACTCACATTTTCTGATCCACAATTGATGATGTGGAAGAAGGTCTGATGAACAAGTCCTTTGATCTTGAAGTAAAGAGTGGCAGAAAACAAAATTCTTCCCTTGGAGTTCTGGGATCCATCTGCATTTTTGGCAAGGATGGGTTTAGTGAGTTGTTGAGTGGGGATTCTATGTTCTCACACAAAACCCCAATTGATGCAGGATATTTCTGCTCTGGAGTCAACCAGTGCAGCAGCATTGACAACTTTTCTAGTTCCTTCTGTTGCATAAAGGGAGATGGGAATTTGCATAGTATGATCTGGGGTAGAAGATACTAGTACAGGTGCAACAGAAACAGAACTGTCCTTTTACTGGGAACATCTGGCATCAACACAGAGTTCCCTTCTAAAACCCTTTCCTAATGCCCTAGCAATATTAACTAAGGCAATGGAAGGTCCAGCAACTTCTTCTTTGTCACTTTCCTCAACTTCAATGATCTTCTTGATCTTCTTGACCTGTTTCTATGGGGTCTTTCCTCTATCTGGACATTCTTGAGAGAGGTGTCCTCTGTTTCAGCAACCAAAACATCTTCCTTCTTTGATGTGTCAGTCTCTTTCTTCCTGGGAGAGTCTCACTCCATCCATGTCCATTGTGTTCAGATCATTTTCTTCAGAAAAGTTGCTCCTTGGATAGAACACCTTCTTTTCTTTCTTTCTGGAAAGTTCATTCACCTCCCTCCATTTGGCTTCAAACTTCTGTGCTTGACTGTACCAATCCTTGATCTTGGTTGGCATGGTTTCCATCATGTAGATGTGATTGGCAATGAATAGTTTGAGACCTTGAGAGAAGAACTTGATCAAGCTTACATCTTCTGTGATGTATTGTTCCATAGAGTCTTTCTGTTTTAGGGTGTGCATCTTAGAGATGGTGACACCAGCTGAGTCAGAAGAGGTAAATGATGCCTTAAAGGATTTTGTGAAATCAGCAAAAGAGCTGAAACTTGGGGGATTCTTTTCCAGAGAAATCTTCTGGAAGGTTGCTGCCCAGGAGTGAGCAACCCCTTTCTTCATGTATGACAGAGTGAACACCACCTTTTTGATGTTGGTATCATAAACTTCCTCATTTACCATGAGGTACATCTGGACTGAAAACAGCCAGCTCATGGCATTCTTCTGGTCTCTGTCAAAATCAAATGGGGAACTAATCTTCAATTCAGTAGCTTTGACAGCAGCACCAGTCATGGCCTTCAACAATGAACCAGACATCATATTTGGGGGTGGGGGCAGAGTAAAAGGTGTTGGGGTTGGTACAGGTGGGATGGGAGTACCAAGCAAAGAGAGGGACTGGTTAAAGAGGTTCAAGAGGATACCAGAGGTAAAGCCTCTATCTGGTTGTTCTGGTTCATTGGAGGAGGTGTTTGTGACAGTGCTCTCCTGTTCATCTTCCAAGGAAGATTATTCTTGTGTGGGTCACAATGGTGCCCAACATCAGTTGTTTTTGGGGTTTATGGTGGTTCACTGAACAGTGACCTTCAGCCAAAAGGCTGTGAAGACTTGAGCTTTTGTTATGCTTGACCAAAGTTGAGACATAGGTTGAGCTCAGTCACAAACTGATGGTTTCTACTGAATGATGGCTGCAGTAACCTCTGTAAATGACAGAGGATTTGTCAACACTGGTAAGAGTGGTCCAGGTTAGGGACACTGAGGGTGAAGTTCTGAGGAATGCTGCATATGATCGAGCAGCTCAAGTCTGGGGTTCCAGGACTTGAGCTGGTAGGCTAAATACTACAAAGAAACAGACCATGAGGTGTCTGCGTGTAATGAGTCAACTATGCTATTGGTTGAACAATAACATTGCATGTCCTAGGTGAGGCACAAGAAACTAACACTAGTGGTGGGTGTAAAGGGCTGTTGGAACAGGGAGAAGATGGCCAGAAAAGGAAAACTAGTCCATCAGAACAGAAATGAGGCAACAGTGAAGTGAAAACAGGGGTGAAATGTAACACACCCAAGCCCTTTGACACCTGACTCATGCCATCCATTTCTGGATTTAATAATTCTCTGTCTGGAAACACCATCCATTTGTTATCCCATCTTTGATCCAGTGATGTCTCCACTGAGATCTGACCTGCATCACCACCCCCTAATGTGATGCCAGTGCACTTACTCAGATACTGACATTCCTTGACTCAAACTGTGATATTTTGACTGTCCTTGACTTGTTCATAACCAATACTTACCAATCTTCTTTGCTTGCTTACTGTTCATTTGTCACTTACTCATCATGATTACTCATTGCTTACAGTCCTTACTCATTACTTACCAAGCATTTATGCCTCATTTGTCATAGGCTGTGCTCCCCCTACAGTATATAAACTCCCCTATACTTAGCTACAAAATAACAAATCAGGAGCAGTCAAGAATCAGTTCAGTTCATCTCTGAAGTAACTCATCATCAACAGTTGAGGCTCAATGAAAGGGTCTATCTGTCATCACTCATCATTTATGGTAGTTGAGGCTCCATCAAGGGTCTATCTACCATCATTCATTATCTGCAGTCTTATCCATGCTTAGTCATCCCTCAGCTCCTGCATCACTTGACATTGACTTGCAGCAGGAGCACCTTCTACTGAATACCTTCACTCTATTCAGAATCCATCCTCTTCATGCATTCATCCACTCCTGCATAACTCATCAATGACTTGTGCCAGGAGCACTCCTCTTTTGAAAATACCCATCATTGATTTTCTGCCCTCCAGGTTCCACCATCACTCACTCTTCATTTGTCTTTTGTGTTGGTTTTGGTTCGTTTTCACCACCTTTCCATACTTTGACTCACACTGAACCCACAGCAGAGGGCTGTGGACCAACCTCATAGATCAGCTCCACCAAGAGCACCTGCTGCTGCACCACCAGTCAACCCTGATAATATTCAGCATCCTTATCATGCTTACCATGTTCCTGGGTATAGAAGAAATCTCAGAAGGGCACACCCAGAACAAGCCAAAGAACAAGAACCTTGTCCTAAAAGAATAATAATCCCTCCTACTCATCCTGGAAACATTTATGGAGAAAAGTCTCGTCCAGTTCAGACAGAAAGGGATATTCAACAAAACAGAGACCAAGCTCAGGAGATGAGACCTCCATCACCATTATGGGTGCAACCTCCTTCTGTTCCTCAAAAATGGACTTCTCATCCTTCTCAAACACCTCCATCTCCTCTTACTCCTCTTCCTGAAGATCCACAACCTGAAGCAAGTCCTTCAAACCAACACAAACAAGCTCATTTGAGTTTCTCCTCACTGCAAGGGTTAAAGAATCACTGGAGCATTATAAAGATGTTTGGAAGTTAGCTCCAGACTTGCAGAAGAAATGGTTTGATGTAATGAAGGATGAATTGAAATCTATTGAAGCAAGAAATGTATTGACTTTGATGGACCCAAAACTGGACTGAAAACAGTCAAGTGGCAATGGGTTTTCACTATTAAAAGTGATAATTGTTATAAAGCTTATTTTGTGGCTAAAGGCTTCACACAAGAATTTGGAACTGACTTTGAAGATACCTAGATCTCTCCAGTTGCTCACTTTGAGACTGCACAAATCCTTTTGGTTTTTGCTGCTCAGCAGAATTGGGAAATGGAAGTGCTGGATGTAAATGCTACCTTTCTTTATGGCAACACAGGTGAAGAAATTTATGTGGAACAACCAGAAGGTTTCAAAATACTGGGTTAAGAGCACAAGGTTTATCAGTTGCTTTGAACCTTGTATGGCTTAAAACAAGCTGTACTTGCATGGAACAAGGCCCTTCATACCTCATTACTATGAATGGGCTACACAAGATTAAAAGTGGATACTGGTATATATATCTTCAAATCCAAAGCTGGTGTTGTCACTTTCCTCATCTATGTTGATGATGGACTCTTCCTTGTATTGGGCAAAAGACTCCTTAAAGCCAAGAAAGACAAGTTCATGAAGAAATGGGAATCCTGTGACTTAGGAGAAGTTAAAGAATACCTGGGAATTCAAATCCACAGGAATTGATTGAAGAAAGAGATTTATCTCAATCAAACTCTGCATGTCAAAAAGGTTATCAAGTGCTTTAACATGGAGAATGCTCATAATGTTTACACTCCACTACCTTCAGGATACCAACCAGAAAAGGCACCACAATCCTACAATGCATCTTCTCAACTCTGCTCCCAATACCAATCTATCATTGGGTCCCTACTCTATATGGCCCTGGGAACTTGTCCAGACATTGCTTTTGCAGTCATCCACACAAGCCAATACATGTCAAATCCTACAGAGGATCATAAAAACAAAGTGCTGCACATAGTCCACTATGTTACTTCCACCCCTAAAATGGTGCTTTATTACTCTGGACTCAAGTTGTGGATATATGGATTTGCAGATGCAGACTGGCCTCTAACAAAGATACTCATCATTCTACCACTGGTTATGCCATGTTTCTTGGCATCTCCCTCATATCTTGGCAATCAAGAAAATGGAAACTATCACCCTCTCTTCCACTGAAGCTGAGTATATGGCTTTATGTGATGCTGCCAGACATGTCAAATGACTCCACATGCTATTTGATGAATCACAGTTTAAAATGGAGAAGACTATCCTATATTGTGATAACATGGGAGCTCACTTTATTGCTGAGAACCCAGTTTCCAATGGATGAACAAAACATATTGATGTTCAATGGCACTTCATTTGCAAATGCATCCAGGATAACATCTTTGCCATCAAATACATCCAGACCAACTGACAAAAAGCAGATGGTCTTACAGAGTCTCTCACATGGCAGAAGTTTGAAACCAATCACTCATTGATGGGACTCATTAATCTCTCATTCTGGAGCAAGGAGGAGTGTTGGAATTGTTACCAAATCCAGATCGTATAGTAAGCAGCATTACACATGCTCAGTCAGCTTACTCCACTATGACATCACTTACTCCACTTCATTCCATGACATTCTATGCAGCTCCTTACTATACATAGTAGGTGTTATTATTGTTTTCCATATATGCTACTTGGTTGGTGCATAGACCTACATGTAGATATGCTTGGGTTTTTCTCCCCTAGAGATCATTGAATAATCCACTGTTCTTTCTTACTCATATACTGAGAATCACTCAGAACTACTACCCTCAAATCAATGCTCTGTCTAATTATGAAGGCCAGTGCTCTAGCCTTTGCTCTCACCATTTATCCATTCCTCTGCCAATATGTTAAACCATTGGGGTGTCCAGCAGGCCATGCAGTTGAGGAATTGATCAATTGCTACTTGCAAAATGCTCTAGAACAATTCTTAGTCACTACAGAGAGAGAACATCACATACACACTAAGTGCTCTTCAGCATTGTCAATACATGGCTGCCAAACCAAAGGGATCAGTGAAGATAGGGCAAGGAAGGCCTCACAGCATTCATGTGGAACAAGATCATAGAGTATAAATGGCATGGCCTGAGATATTGTGTGAAAATCACATCCAGTGAGGGACCCTGCATATTGAACCAATGTTTGACCTGCCAAATGAGGGATGCTGAGTCCAGAGACATTGAATGATGCAAGTCAAACCTGGAGTTCCACCTTCTGTACATCATTCAGCCTGGAAATTGTGTCTCACCAGAAATACTTCATAAATCCATGCAGTATGACATGCAATATTTCCACTGGAGTGTCTTGATGAGGAGCAAGCCCTAAATGAGTGATTGATGTCAGTGTTGGATGAATGTACTGTAGAGCATTCTTACCTTTGATTCTCCAGACCAGACTCATGAACTCTTCAAGGGGACAGCCCTGAAGGATTGCATCAACAGCCTCAGTATATTTGTCCATCCCTGCTTGCATACCTTTCACACACTTGTCAATGTGCTTGATGAACACATCCACATGTGTCTTTGATGCCTATCTCAGCCTTCATTTTGGTATATCATGTCTTGCTCATGCCAGAAGCAATGTCATGGAACATGCTACAGAACCTATTCATTGTGCCTGTTTGCATGCATGGTCCATTGGTCTAAAGGAAATTATACATTAGCATAAGTCCACCAGTAGGCAGTGAAGAGAAGACTCATAAATGGTAGAGGACAGGCAGAGTTGGTGTGGAGTGAATGACTGGAAGAGCAGAGTGCAGAGTAATCAGGGACTTAGGATGAGTGCACAGTCATGACACAGCCCTCTGATACTCACAGGTTCACCTGTGCAGATCCTCATGTGGAGTTCTGTCCAGATCTGTCCAGAACAAAAGTGTTTGCTGATGCCATGAAAATGCATTGAATGACCCATAATCTTCTAGACTACAGTGTTGTCAGAGGTCAAGACCTCACCCTGTACACAAGATTTTCCTGCATTCTAGTCTACATTCATAATGTACTGCTACTTGTCCATCACTATAATATATTTTTGGACACCAAACACAATTCAACAGTGATACAGAGGTACCCTTTTCAGCTAACACTCCTTGCTAGAAGTAACAGTCTGAACTGATGACAAGTAATCATATGCTTGTAGCACATACATCCAGTAGCACCCAGAAGGCATCAATACTTTATACATTATACATTATACAAAATCCACGGATTTCATGCCACCCACAGTGGGACCTGCAGAAAGAATAATGAATGAGATTTATACATCTGGACAACTTACATTACGAGCAATTCAAATGTATGTTGGTCACTGGAACAATACATCTGGCAAGGCATGGGAACAAAATAACAATAATCATGAGCCCCAGCCACTGCACACAAAAGGGCCAAATGTTAATAGGTCGCAAGAGCTGTGAAAACGCAACGAGGTGATTTTCACAGATTGCCGAAAACCAAAATTCGTGGTTGGAGTTGTGTAGATCGGTCAAGTTATGTGCGATCTCGTGAGCAAGAGCGAGGAACCTTCAGCGAAAACCATTTGTTAGGCAATGGAACAGGCGACAGTGGACGAAACAAACGAACCACGACATTTGAGCCTTCTGTCGGTTTCCGCTTCTGACTTGCTCATCATCTGAAGGCGTGGTCTTAGCGTCCTCCCAGCTCAAAGATGGAAACTGAAGTCCACTCACGCCAAACCTCAAAATATCGCAGATTGAGGTAGATGGTTCCTCGACAATTGAACGCAATGCACCCTCCCGAAACGTCATAGAAAATACGCAATGTTGTTGTTGGGATACGATATACGTCGGCGAGAGTGATGATGATGCCTACGAAGCGAGAAAGCGGGCCGTGCGCGCGTTCTATAAATGTGCTGGCGTCGGGCATGCCTGTGTAGGTGTGAACATTTCACTCGGGCTATGTAGACCGGAGTTTACCTTTAACCACATAGACTTGGATATTTTTCACTTGTCCTAGTTCTCCCGTGAACGACAGTCGGAGACGACCCACGCCAAACTCACCAATGGGATGCAGATTTCCGACGTCTGCAGACACCTTGCAGAAGCCGTTGCTCAGGAACTGGCTCACTCCCGCGTGAATGGCTGCTGTTTCCCCTCCCAACCTACACGCCTCAATGGCTTTCTCTACATTGTTCCCTAGGAAACAGTCAAGATATCTTGTCTTGTCTTGGGACTTCAGGCTTACAGATGTAACTCTGCGGGATCACCTCACGTGAAGTCCTAGATACGTGGTTAGACATGTGACGACACTTGGCGGTCGAGCCTACCGAGAGAGTGGGATAGATATGGAATGCCCAACTGTATTCAAGGGCCTATCACTAGAGCCGGCGAATCTTCAACAAGATGCTGTCAGCGGCCTGAGGGAGGCATGGGAACTGCGGGGTGGCTTCAGAACTTCCAGGTACCCTTTCACGGTCCAACTGTGGATCAATTCGAGTATCCTGCGTAGATTGTTGCGGGGAATTCGTGATCCAGGCGGAGACTGAAGAGCGCTTTGTCGTCGCCTTGTTGCCCACCCCGTACTCATCTCTCTGTTTCCCGGAAATTTGATCAACTGTGATGTAACCAATACTTGTTAGACAACTACCACGAGCGCACGCAGACCAAACTAACCAAGAAAACCTCTTCGTTCCAAAAACGCCAAGTCCGAGGAAAAGATCGTCTCAAGGAGTACCGTGGCATTCATCTTGTTTGTTCCAAACAACAGTCGACAGAGAGATGTAGCAATTCTTTTCTTGCTGTCAGACACCAACAAAGATGACAAACGACATTCCGAAAACTCACTCATACATGTCGCGCTTTGCCGTTGTGGAAATCCATAGCTCTATGCAGTCGCCTTCGCGCCTCGCGATTGCCCATGCATTTCTTGTTCGCGTTACGTTCCCGTTGACAAGAGTCTTGGAAACACGGATCCTTTTACACGCCTTCACTTTGAGATGATCCGGGCTAGAAGGGATTGTGATTGTGGGCTTTGTATCAGTATAATTTTGAATGAATAAGGGTAGTCGCTCAAGGATCAATGATTGAACTTGGAGGCAGGTCTTGGTAGCTGGTATTTCATGGAGATCGTTACATCTCTCTTGAACGATCTCGCTCAGGTAACCGCACCCGAGCGATGCATAGAAGCCTATTGGTTTGGACTGAGTGAACGACTACCAAAGACTAACATCAATACGCACGTTCGAGTGCCTCTTCTTGTGGAGCGACGAAGAGACAGTCACTAAACAGTTGGTAGTCGATGATGTCATCGACAATAGTCACTCCCTGATACGTCAGGAACTTATGCTCGTAATCCCATACTGCCTGGCCCTCTCTTTTCTGCCGACGCACACCAAGCAAAGCAGGTTTGTGGCTCATCTGATGCAGAGTGTTGTTGGAAATATCCTGACTCTGATGGGCGAACTTTCGCAACTCGACCACGAAACTAGCATCAAGCAGGTGAGTGATAATCCCAGTAAAGATCCGTCAAACCTACCCTTCATAACCTCCCCCAAGGTCGAAAAACCTCTTAGGGTCTTTAATTAGCACTTTTGCAACGTCTTCTACTGAAACTTCGGCTTTCAAACCACAAGCACTGAGGAAACGGTTCGCTTTGGTGCTGAAATTCACAAAGACGAACAGTTTCGCATAAAGTACTGGTTTGGTATCTTGGTCGAGGTAACACTTAGTTGGATGAAGCAGTTTTGGAGCACTCGGCGGACCCGTTGGAATGATCGGCAACCCGGACAGTTTGATGAAATCGGGAGGTGTGAAACCTGGCATGATGTAACACATGGAAAAGATGAGAAGGACCGAGAACGTACTCGCCATGTGGTCAAATAGAACTTCAAACCAGTGGACAGCAGTTTCATCATCGAGCGGGGGGGTCTTCTCCAGTAGGTCCAGAAGTTTTGACGTTGGGGGATGTTGCGTTACACCTAGTTGATGCAAGGGCGCCCACAGGTATCGGTCCTGTACCACAGAAAAGCCTAGTGCCTTCCACTGGGTACCTGAATACACCTGGAGTGAATGTTAGCCAGGACGCAAACAAAAGCGAGCCTCACCGTACGTCATTCAACTTCCTCAAGCAAGTGCGACCCTTGCTCTCTGCAGGAATGAATTCCACGTCACGGAAGTCCTCCGGTTTGTAATCTCGGTACTGCGAGTAAAGTTCACTGCACAGATGCTCGAACGCAGCCTTTTGCACTCCAACATCCCCCGACGAGCAGAGTTCCACGATCTTGGGCAGAGGTGGGAAGCGATTCAAACCAAGGCGGTACAACAGTTGGGCTTAATGACAACTTAATCAGGTGGAAGTGACGTATACAACATTCACCTTACCTTGGGGTGAGCTGTCCCTCCATTCCGACACCCCGCGCCATTCAATGACCGGTAGTCGGAGTCTCCGGAAGATATCCACAGGTGGGTAGAGCTCACCAGCACGGTGACAGGTATTCTCCTCTTCGTTACTCTGGAAACTTTCTTTCGTAAAGATCTCAGACGATTTCAGAGCGGAGAGGTCCTCGGAAGCCAACTCAGGCGCCTTATGGGCGAGATAGTCGACCAATTGGAACACAGTCCAATCTCCCGTTGACAGCAATCTTAAACGTTCCGAGTAAGTGCGGGAGCCAAAAATATTGTGAACACCTACCGATTCAAAAGAAATCGGACCATGGGATCCTTCCGAACTCCAATGAACAGAAGGAAGCTTTCCATACGCTCGTTAACTTCAAATCCCGTGACTATCGGCGGGTTACAATGGTGGAACAGAGCATTATCTGCGGTAGGAAGATACGTGTATTCTGGGCAACGCAAGCCTTCGCATGTAGGGATGCATGGCTTGCCCCTGATCACTTTCCTTGATTCAATTTGCATATCTGTAGAAAGTTGCGGCCATATGCGGCAAAGGGTGCTGAGGACGCGGGTAGCCCACTCGAATGACCGGGTGAAGTCGTATTTCATATCGGCTGACATGACATCGGGACACGATATGTGTCGTAACCATGAAGTAACGATGAACTCTTTCCAACCGAAGCCAGCGAGCTCCTCGAAACGGAAATGCTTGCTAATGCGAGGTGGGATGACAAATACAGGAAGGGGTCCGTCATGCGGGATGTGGGGTCCAAGAACTATTGGATGGATGAAGGAGGTTATCGACGATAAGTGTATCGCTCCACGTGTGCCGCTGAGAGTGATCACGTCCAGCAAGTCAGCCATATTTGAGGTCAAACCGGCTCCCGACAAGGTTATCCACCAACGAAGACATGCTACCAGCTCCTCGACGTCCAAAGTATGGCGACGTAAATCCTGTGAAACGTCTGATAGCGTTATCGCGGGGATCTTGTGCTGGTCCTGAAGTGCTGCAATAAAGCGCGCACAGTCCCGTGTGACATCTTCTGAGAGCATCGGTAAGGACTTGAGAAATTTGGCAAACACCGGGTCAAATGCTCTGACGTCAGGAGATGCGCGTACGCCAACGGATGAGAGAAGCCTTAGAGGAAGGGTGGAACATCCATAGAATGAGTCTGCTAACAATTGTGCGACTTTCGACGAGGGCGTGGAATGATGAAACGTGAAGAATTTGAGAAGGTGGAGGAAGGACTGATCTAGTAACTCCAGGGATGGGCGTAAACATGGTCTACCAGCAGCTGCTTCCTCCCACGAGGTTTGAATCTTGGAGAGCTCTAATTCGTACACTGCCCGACATAAGAAACCTCCGATATAGAGCAACTCCCTATTCCAGACTGCATGATGAGGGTAGGTTAGTGCCCTCTCTCGACGGAGTCGCAGGGTGCTTACTAGAAACATTGCTGTCACTTGGGTACGATATTAGCAGCCGCTAGAGATGACTGGCGCACAAACCTAGACTCACACCAAATCTATGGATTCACGCTCTACAGTGGGGATGAAGTGGGATGCCATGTGACCTCCAATGCCTGTCGTTTGTGCGGTGGCATTACCCTGGCATCATCAGCAGAAATCATGAGACAAGTGCGTAAAGATTCACAATGAAGATCCGTGTGTGCGTAGCACTGGCGTTCCATTAAGCCATGGATTTCGTTACTACAGATGGCTGTTCACCCATCCAGGTCGGCGCGAAGTCCTCGGAAAACCGACGGGAACTCACAGAGGTGCTTCTGTTCGTTGATGCAGCTCTGATCATATTCATCTTTCTCGGTCTTGCGAAATAAATCCATGCACGTTCAGGGGCAGGAGTCTAGTAACTTACATAGATCAAACTGTACTGGAGGCAAGAAGGCGGATCCTTTTTCATACATCGGTTCAATTCCTTGGACAACTTCTCATCGAGAGTGACGTCCACTTCTGCTGTGAATGCAGTGAGGTCCACTTTTGTTTCGTGCATTCGAAGGGAATCATATTGTAGGAGCGTGATTCTAGCTTTGAGGGTGATGGCTAGTCAGGTGTAAGGATCAGTACGCATAACAGAAACGCAGAAAGACTTGCCATGCTGCTGAACTGATTTCACGATCATGTTCTTCTCAGGGGTCAACCGTTTTAGTTCCGTAGGAATAGGAATAGGTTGAGACTGTCCTAGGGATTTGCTAATTTTCCCCACATGGTGATGATCAAAAAAGACGGTCACATCCTTCAGATGAACCATGAAAGTGATGGATGATGCAAGAAATTGCATAAGTTCCGAAACTGGTGGCATCGAGGCAGCCCCTCGTAGTGGCATCCTGAAGGTTGTCCATAGATCTCTGGGTGCTGTTTGGGGGAGGTCGCCAAAACGGTAGTACAGCTAGGGGAGAGGTGAAGAGGTGACAATAGTGATCGACCGATTTTCATACCTGATTTTCGTCGTTCCAGGAAAACTCCATCTCCTTGCCTAACATTATGTAAGGCTGAAATCTTCACGAGAAGATGTGCTAGTAGCCTACCCCCAGATGACACGTATGGACTTTCCGTAACAGAAAACAAGCTGTAGAAACCTGAGAACCGATCGTATTCGAGCCTTGTTCCATTCCGATAGACGTTTGATACCCACCAACACCAAAGGCGCCGACCTTCCGTGGGTCCGGATTTCCCAAGGCTGAATGACGAACCAATTAAACGACCAAAGCTAACAAGAAGCGAAGGTGAGTACAAACCAATCTTCGGTAGTCGGCCCCAATCTTGAAGTGAGAAAGGTTTACCGTGATTTTTGAATGTCCATTGCGCAACCTTGAGCGATGTTAGTGGAATAGCAATGTGATGGAGAATCAAACGTGGTTCTGAACATTGGTTGTCTTTAGGTCGGACCATATAGGCGGACCAGCGTTCATCGCCGCTTCGGGGTCCAGACCTAAGAATGCAGCGGTCTCGAAGTGAATTTCGGCGGTGTCACATCCAGCATCGTCTGAGTTCTGAAGCAGTTCGCGGAACACTGGCAAAGTCAAAAGTAAATGAGAAAAGGAATGTTAGAACACGATATTCGCCTACCAGCAAACTCGCCGGAATAGCGGGCAAGAACTTTATCGACCAACGCACGCGTGTCGACGGTCACTGGTGCATATTCTTGTAACATTGTACAGATTGCCACTGACGGGTTGATAGTAATTGGCTACCAAGCAGCCGCCGAGAACAACTGACGATCAAGATCCACACTTCTTGCTATCAAGAGGATCCTCGGAGCCGGGGTCGTTGGCAGACTAAGAACCCGTCAAAGAGGGGATTATATAAGAGCTTCCCTTGTGCGACCGCCCCCGATATGTCACGTGACACACCAGTGGCATCTTTGGTGTCTTCCCAGCACATGTTTGTATACATGGCCAGTTGACTTTATTAAATCTTGGACAGATCATGAAAGATATCCATGTGGCACTCACTGCAGAAACAAGCTTTTAGCAGGGAACATAATCAGATTCTCCAAATGTAGATAATCCAACCTTAGTTTTTTTTTGTAATATACAGTATAGCCATTAGTCTGAGCAAAGTCCAACTCAACAATTTCTGAGTAATGACATATCCAAATAATCTGGTGCAGGCAAGACCTGAATATAGGCAATGCACCAATAACCTGACCTCTTGTATGGTGCATTTCCTCAACAAAGGTATGAGTTCTCAGTATAGAAAAAGGGTGCTGTGGGCAACCTCAGTAGTGAACAACCCACTGATATATTGGATACACCTGTAGGCAACTACAGGGAATCAGTAAGTAGGATACTGGTAATGAATGTAACCTTACCCTTAGTAGTGAACAGCCTACTGAGGGAACAGTGTAATGACTGTGCAGTAAGTGTGCTCTAATGGTTCATGTAAGCAGCTAAACATCACACCAAAGTAACTGGAACACAGGGGAGAATATATCCCCAACACTCAGTGGACAAAGTAGTTACTGTATTAGTACCTAATGAAGGTATGAGTTCTACACTATGTCAGTACCAAGTAAACAAGTGGAAATATACAATCATCTACTGGCACTTGAACCACCACCAACACTTGAACCAAACACAAATTACCTGTGAATTCCAGTCACAACAAGTAAGACAATGGTTGATGCAATGAAATACAATACTTTGCTATGCTTGGCTATAAGATAGGCCTTGCTCAAGACCACTGTTAAACTGATGACTAGTGTTTTACCCTTGAAATCACAAAGTTTCATAGCTACTACAGGGAATACAAATACTGTAGCCATTCTGACTAATGGAACATTTACATTTTCTTCTTGGCTTGGTGGTCCCAACACCTGATTGGGAGATTGGCAACTCCTCATCTTGCCACTGCAATGCTGATGAAGGAAGTCAATAAGGATGTTGAGTTGTTTATCAGCACATGAGATATCCCTATTATGGAATAGTTGGTAGGGACTTAAACATCATGGCAAATAAAAATGTGCACTGTCTACAACCCACTCAAGTTACAGCTGGCCATGCAAAATCCAAGTACAAGAAGCAACATACTGCAATTGTTGATCAAGAAGAAGGTCTCACATATGTGATAAAGCTGTGGAATGATGACAAAGAGAAGCCAGAGGAAGATCAGAGGAGTCTGCAAGCAATTTGTCATGAGGCACAAGAAGATATGAAGAACAGGAAGAAGAGGCATATTACTGTTGACAGGGTTACTCTTACAAGACAACTTTGAGGTGGGAGAAGTTGTCAACAAGCAAATGAGGAAAATCATTCCTGGCTTACATCCAAAGAGGAGGAGAGCATTGTGGATTATTGCCTTGACCTTGCAGCAAGAGGCTTCCCACTCAATCACAAGAGGCTCAAGTTTCCTGTTGACACCCTCCTACAAGCATGACTTGGCAATTCTTTCCCAGAGACAGGGGTCAGAATGAATTGGACTGGGCATTTTCTTGATCAGCACTCAGAGTGCTTGGGCACATATTGGAGTTCTCCACTTGATTCTGCTCATGGGCAGGCAGTCAACAAGCACACCCACAAAGCATGGTGTGACTTACATACTTGAGAGCACTGTCACATATGTGACTCTCAGACTCAAGCCTGGTCCATTCCAGACCCCTAGCCCCTATCTCTGGTCAAGTCCAGTGTTTTACCCCTATCTCCAGTCCACTCTGGCCTCTTAGCCTTGTGCTGTTCCACCCCAGTCCTCCCAGGTCCATGTCTGGGTCACTTGGACATAGCTCCAGTCTGCTTTCTGATGCTTGTGCTATATTTAGTCTAGTCCTTTCATCTGACCTTTGCTTACTGTACAAAACCTGTGTCTGATGTGAGTCAAAGTGTGGAAAGCTGGTGTAAACCAACCAAAACCAACACCAAAGAAAACAAAGAGCAAGTGGTGGTTTACCTCCATGGAACCTGGAGGGCAGAAGAATCTAAAGTGGGGGGGAGTTTCAATGGCAGGTGCTCCTAGTGCAAGTTGACAACAAGTTATGCAGGAGAAGACAAAAGAGTGATGACTGTGAGGGGGATACCAACTAGAGTGATGACCTTTGATAGAGAGTGCTCCTGGCACAAGTCAATGACAAGTTATGCAGGAGTAGGTGAATGAGTGAAGACTTGATGGGGGATGCTGAATAGGGTGAAGGTATTTAGCTGAAAGGACTCCTAGCACAAGTTGATGACAAGTTATACAGGAGTGGAGGGATGACTAATCAAATGTGCTGACTAAGCACAGATGACAATGCAGACACTGGATGATGGTAGATAGACCCTTCTGAATGAGCCTCAACCACCAAGGATATGAATGATGACAGATAGACCCCTTTGTGGAGTCTCAACTGTTGACAACAAGTTAGGTCTGAGAAGAACTGAACTGATTCCTGAGTGACTTCTTGATTTTTTTGTAGCTAGGTACAGGGGGTTTATATACCATAGGGGGGAGCACAGCCTGTGACAAATGAGGCACAAACACTTGGTAAGTAATGAGTAAGGACTGTAAGCAATGAGTAATCATGATGAGCAAGTGAGAAATGAAAAGTAAGCAAGCATAGAAGATTGGTAAGTATTGGAAACAACAAGTCAAGGACAGTCAAAATATCACAGTATGAGTCAAAGAAGGTCAGAATCTGAGTAAGCACACCAGTATCACATTAGGGGGTGGCAATGCATGTCAGATCTCAGTGGAGACATCACTAGATCAAAAGATGGGATAACAGATGGATGGTGTTTCCAGATAGGGAAGTATTAACTCCAGAAATAGATGGTATGAGTCAGGTGTCAAAGGGCTAGGGCATTGGGTGTCTGTGGGGCAATGGGAGCATGGGCAATTGCATCTCCCACCCATTTGTTCTCTCAGTGAAGTTAATAAAAGCTTCATGAATGGGGTTCTGATGGAGGAGAAGGAGAAGGGGGGACATCCTCTGCTGGGTCTTGCAGTGAGAAGGCAAGATGCATGTCATACTCATCATGGATGCAATTGGGGAGGCTGGAGAACAGTAGATTATACTGTGGCTGTTGCAATGTGGGGAGAATGATGAACAAGATTGGAATAAAGATGGTGCAGGGAGCAGGGAGGAAGGATCTGTATGCTCCATCAAGTGGGGAGACTGAAACAACCACATAAGACCTTTGTAACTGAGTGACAGACCTGAGGCAACCAAAGCAAGTCCTTCTGGAAGTCACACTGACAAGGAGAACATGCTGACCAAGCTGCATGGGATGGGACAGGGCTGATGATGATGGAATGAACCAGGGGGCTTCAGGATGGAAGCTGGTGGGAACACCTGGCAGATATACATAGCCACTGTCTCTGGCAAAAGAGACAAGCAAGATGATCAATGAAGAAGCAGCCATACTTAGCAAAATGAGCATCTGATGGATGGAGTGCTGTAGAAATGCATAGGGTGTGAGGATCCTTTCTGAATGCAGAAGGTGGAATCATGTGGCTGAGCACTTTAAGCAAGTGTGAGAATGGAGTTGATATCTTTGGAAATGGTGGAGATATGATGAAAACTGGAATGTCATACATGAGCACTAAAAAACTTTTGATGGGTGCTTGACTTGCTTCCTCTTTTCTCTCTAGCACTGATGACTCATTCTTGTGTGAAGGATGACTGCTCACATCCAGCAGTCTTTCTATGTATGAGGGCTTTAGTCTTCATCTGCATGGCATGGCACACAACTTGTTGATGAGTTAGGCAGAGTCAGCTGTATCCATGTCCCCAACACCTTTGGTATGTGACACTGATCCAGTCATACCAGTCACCTGGACTTTGGCTATTAGTCTCGACACAGCCTCTGTGGCTGTCCACCCCATGGTAATCATCCTAATAGCTTACCAACAACTCCAGCTTCACATTCATTACTCCAGACTGGCCTCATGTATTTAACCCCTGTGCACACTTCATAGTACACCAGTCAGAATATCAACTTAGTATTACCCTCAACTCCATGTTGTCCCTTGGGTCTACTCAATAGCTAAGGCCAAGCCTTAATCTATCCCTGACCCCTTTCCCAGACCTCTCCCTGGCTTGCATAAGGGTACAGCACATAAGCTGAGACCAAGGGAGGTAGATTCAACCCTGGACCAGCTTCCCTCTGTGTGCACCCCAAGACTGGTCATTTTCCCATGGTCCTGGTCTTATTCCTGTGCTCCCAGCCTTGACTCTGGACCTTCAGACTTGGCCCCTGACCTCCAGCCTTGACTCTGGTCAAACCAGACATAGCCCCTGTCTCCCAGCCTTGAAGCCCAGTCACCTGAGGGTAAACCCATACTTGACAAGCACCATCAAGGATAATAATATTGTTGAGGACTGCATCTGGGCAGCAGATGAGACTGGCTTCCAGCCTGGGAATGGACACTGACAGTGTGTCATTAGTCTTGCATAAAGGAACATCAGGAAAAGGGAACTTTGCTATAGGTTCTTTTTTTTGGCTTTTTATTGTTTTTCTGCACTTTTTGCCACCCTTTGTCACTTTATAACTGAAAAATGGCAAAAAAGGGCCAAAAGAAGCAAAAAAAACCACCTATAGCAAAGTCCCCTTTTTCCTGAGAAGATGCAACATCAGCAGTGGGATGGAAATCATGAAAATATCACTGTGATGGTGACCATCTGTGCTGATAGTGGATCAATTGCACCAACTATTATCTACAAGGGGAAGTCTTTTGAATGCCTCATGAGTTCACTTTGCTGGGCCTCCAACTAGAATACTAAGGACTCACATATTTATGGAGTTGCCCATTCAACCAAAGGGTGGACTGATGGCACAATTGGGAGACTTTGGATTGAAGACTTTGAGAACAAAACCTGTGAGAAAGCACATGGATGAGCTTGTCTTCTCCTTGTTGATGGCCACAACTCCCATTACATGAAAGAGTTCCTAGATTATGCCAGGGAACATATTATTCATGTTTTGTGCTATCCCACACATGTCACTCACATCTATCAGGGCCTTGATGTTGTCATCTTCAGTCCATTGAAGAACTACTGGACTGAGGCATGCAACAGCTTCAAGAGTTCTACACATCAAAAAATTACTAAAAATAACTTCATCACAATCTACAAAAGAGCTCATCTCAAAGCACTCATACCTGAAACCATTTGTTCTGCATTCAGGGTGACTGGGGTCTGGCCACTTGACCAAAACATCATTACCAAAGAGATGATGGCCCCAAGCTTGGAGACATCATCTCAAGGTCAGCTGCTACTTCCACAGCTAATCCCTGTTTGTGTCATCACATCTCTTATGCATCAATATCAAAACAAGGCTGAAGATATCCAACACACCCCATTTCCATCAAGCACTGTGCCAGGTTCATCACAAACTCCCCACATGAGTCAACCCTCCAGCCAGGGCAGCAATGATAAGCCATTCATTGGCTTGGGTTGTGACAGCACCTTGATATGGCAGCATTTTCCACTTTGGCACACAGTGGCAAAAGATGCTGTTGAATCACTTGCATCTACATCAGCCTCATTTCTTGTGGCTGATACCCCACTCACCTCATCCCATTTCCTCCCACCATTCACACCTTCCCAAATCTCCCCAACACAGCACAAACACACACATCTTCTGCTAGATGAAGAACCAGCAAATGAAAAAGAGAAAGCTCACCAAACAGCATTACATGAATCCTACAAGTGAGAGTTCACATCAAAAAATGCACTCATTGGAATGCAGTCAACTATTGTGTTGCAGTTGATGTTTTGTGATCATCTGTCAGGTCAGCTGGCAGCACAGGGTAGAAAAACAGAAGAGAAGGAAGAAGGGTCAGCTAAACAGTGATGGAATGCCAAGATTATTTACAGGTGATGAATTTTATAACCATGTGGTTGAATATCAGAAGACTTCTGATGCAGCAAAGGTGGCACAAGAAGATTGTCATAAACAAAAGGAAGAGCAATCTGGTGTGTTGACAGAGTGGAAGAAAGTGGAAAATTTGTGGAAGACCTGGAATATAGCATGCAGAGAAGCTTACAATGAGGTGATGTGCTTGTGGAAGGAGGAAAGCAATCTTGCAAAACAGGAGCAAAGGCAGGTGGGGTGGGCAATGCCAAAGTTAGGAAAGCTGGAGTCACAAGCTCCAAAGCCAGGACCTGTGTGAGGTTAAAGTGACAAGGGAAGCAAGGGAAATGGGGAGGTCACTGGCAGTGAGCATGAGCAGAGCATTGATGGCACAGAGTGACAGCAAGAGTGTGATATTGCTAAGATAATGCTGCTTGGTGTTGCTTGGTCACTGATGTACCTGTTTTGGTGATGGTTCAAGTGGTGCAGCATCCATGATAAGTCATCAATTCTTGTGCAAGCTAATTGCAAAAATACAGTATTCAAATTTTCTTTCATTTTCTTTATACTACATGCTCACAGTTCAGGTAACCCATTTCATAAGCATTTAGCTTGAATGATTTTGAGAAAAACTTCAGCCTAAAAGCCACTCAGACCAGGTCATCCCAGGGACATCTGGCCATATCCCAGGGCTATTTACAATTTGCAGGACCTGGGATGTCCCATAATCCAAGCTCTTTGGTAATATATTTTGGGCTGTCCCATGACTGCCTTAGGTGTCAGGGGTCCTCAGCTCAAAAAATTGCAGTTCATATTCACATTGAAATGCCACTTCTGATCAGAAAAACATACATAGCTGCATGATCATCCAGGATAATGAGCACACCTGTCAAAGTAGGGGGATATGTGAGAGTCACTGCCATTCCAAAACCATGTAATACAACTTATGTATTATGCACAGATTTGAAGAATACTGGGCAATCAGTGTGTTTGTGTGTGGTGTCATTCCCAGACTCATACAATGCCTATGGCAGTGAGCATTGCATTATTGTAATGAATTTTAATGGATTCAGACCTCTCCCATGAGTGCCTATGTATGTAAGTTCCCTTTTTGACTGCAAGAGTGCTCCTTACTAAGATCATACTAAATGCATCTCAGCCCCCCTCTCTGAAGGCCAGTGGAATGTCTCATGATAGCTTCAGAGGCCACTGTGGGATGTCCCACCCCCCTCTCTGGAGGCCAGTGGGATGTCCCATGATAGCTTTAGAGGCTACTGTGGGACATCCCACCCCCCTCCCTGGAAACCAATGGGATGTCCCATGATAGCTTTAGAGGCTATTGTGGACATCCCACCCCCCTCCCTGGAGACCAATGGGATGTCCAATGATAACTTCAGAGGCTACAATGGGACATGCCACCCCCCTCTCTGGAGGCCAGTGGGATGTCCCATGATAGCTTCAGAGGCTACTATGGGACATCCCACTCCCCTCTCTAGAGACCAATGGGATGTCCCATGATAACTTTGGAGGCTGCAGGCATGTCAGTCAATCCCCTTTGGAGACCCATTAAGTCTATATATTTCTACAGGTTTACAGTATATACCTATGAGATCTCAACAGGTTGAGTATACCCAGCTGCTGCCATGGAAAGTGTTTTCTCCAGCACCATGCCTAGGGACTCCAGGGCAACCATTGATTTCTCCTGGCATGGTGCTGATCATAAGTGTTTTGTGTTCTCCTCATGCAATTTTCCACTTGCTGATAAGATAGGCATACCATCATGATTGCACAATCAGGAGCTATAACTTTCATTATGATGACATCACTCCATTATCACTTGCTGGGGTATTAACACCTACTAGTGCTAGTTGTAATAGTTGATAGTTCTGAATAGTTTAGGCAATGCTACACTTTGGTGGTGTGCATTTTTGGCTACTGTCAACTATGAAAAGTGTAGGGTCAAGCCAGAGTGCAGAAGTCACATGACAATTGATCACATGACATAATGGTCATGTGACCCAAGGTATTCTCAATCTACTGCTGGTGAAGTCATGTGACAATTTGTCACAAAGTTGCATAGGGGCACCACATCACTTGGTGGCTTGGGTCATGACAGTGGTCTGTCATGTGCATGCACAGGTCATGTGACATCACATGATGGGATTCACATCTGTGGTCACATGGTCACAAGGGTGATGTCCCTATGCAACTTTGTGACACATTGTCACATGACCACAGATCATGGGACTGGGATAGTGTTATATGTCACATGACTTGCACTAGGAGCACTCCTTTTTGAAAAACACCCACATTAGATTTTTCTGCCCTCCAGGTTCCACAATGGTAAACCACCACTCACTCTGTTATGTTTTGACCTTATGTACTCTTTTTCTCCTGATGTTTACCTTGTGCTCAGTCTGATGGACTGTCTTTCCTTTTTGAACCATCTTCTCATTGATCTGATGGCTCTCTGTTTCCACCACTAGCATTAACCTCTTGATACATGCATAGAACATATGTCACCATTGCTCAACCAATGGTGTAGTTACCTCATTACATGTGGATGCCTCATGGTCCATTTCTTGTACAGTATTTAGTCTGTCAGCTCAAGTCCTGGAAACCCAGACTTGAGCTGCTCAATCTTACACAGCATTCTCAGAACTTCGCCCTCAGTGTCCCTAACCCAGACCACTCTTATCAGTGTTGCCTCAAATCCTCTGTCAACCACAGAGGTTACTGCAGCTGTTTGCTCAGTAGAAACCATAGTCTGCATTTGAGCTCTCCCTATGTCTTGACTTCAGTCAAGTGTAACAAAAGCTCAAGTCTACCAGCCTTTGGCTGAACTGGTCACTGTTTAGTGCACCACCATGAACCCCCAAAATAATTGACATTGGGCACCATTGCAACCCACTCATGAAGAATCATCATCAGACAAAGAACAGGAGAGCACTGTCACTGACATCTCCTCCAACAAACCTGAACAACTGGATAGAGGATTTACCTCTGGTATCCTCTCAAATCTCTTCACCCAGTCCCTCACGACACTTGGTACCCCTATCCCACCAGTACCTGTCACCACTTTCCCTACATCCCCACCCATACCCCTGAGTATGATGTCCAGTTCATCATCGAAGGCAGCAGTCAGTGCAGTCACCACCAAAGCCACAGAATTAAAGATTGGTGCCCTGTCTGATTTTGACAGCGACCAGAAGAATGCTATGAGTTGGCTGTATTCAGTACAGACCTACCTCCTGGTAAACAAAGAAATTTACAACAATGACACCAAAAAGGTTGTCTATGCTTTGTCATATATGAAGAAAGGAGTTGCTCATTCTTGGGCAGCTACCTTCCAGAAAACTTCTCTGGAAAAGAACCCCCTGAGTTTCAGCACCTTTTCCAATTTTACAAAAGACTTTAAAAGTTCTTTCACCTCCTCCGACACTGCTGGTGTGGCTATTACCAAACTGTGCACCATGAAACAAAAAGAATCAGTGGAACAGTCTATCACTGATTTCAGAACTGCTGCTGCCAACTCAACCATCATGGAAGACATTGCATTGATTGAGTTCTTCTCACAAGGACTCAAACCCTTCATTGCAAACCGGATTCACATGATGGAGACCACCCACACCAAGATCACTGAGTGGTACACCCAGGCAAAAAAGTTCAATGCAAAGTGGAGGAAAGTAAATGAACTTTCCAGAAAGAAAGAAAAAAGGACATTCTACCCCAAGAACAACCTTACTGAAGAAAAAGATCCAAACACTATGGATGTGGATGGAGTGAGACTCTCCAAAGAAGAAAGAGACCATCACATCAAAGAAGGAAGATGTTTCAGTTGCAGAAACAAAGGACATCTCTCTCAAGAGTGTCCTGAAAAAGGGAAAATCCCCCAGAAAAAGGTGAAGAAAATCTGCAAAATCATGGAGGTTGAGGAAAGCAATGATGAAGAAAAAGTCATTGGCCCATCTATTGCCCTAGTAAACATTGCTAGAGCACTTGGGAAGGATTTTTAAATGGGAACTCTGCATTGATGCCAGAAGTTCCCAAAACCAAGGACAGTTCTGTTTCTGTTGTACCTGTGCTAGTATCTTCTACTCCAGATTGTACTATGCAAATTCCAATCTCCCTTTACACATTGGAAACAACTGAGAAAGTTGTCAAAACTACCACATTGGTTGATTCTGGAGCAGAAATCTCTTGCATCAATTGGGGATTCATATGAAAACATTGAATCCCTACCCAATGACTCACTGAACCCATTCTTGCAAAGAATGCTGATGGAACCCAGAACTCCAAGGGAAAAATCCTGTTTTCCACCACCCTTTATTTCAAGGTTGAAGGGATCATCCATCAAACCTTCTTCCATGCCATCAACTGTGGAATGGAGAACGTCATTCTAGGCCCTCCCTTGGCTTCAAGAAAACAATCCTGTTGTCAACTGGAGAATGGGAACCCTCTCCATTAATGAAAAGACTGACAGGTCAAAAGAGTTGAGATGTGGCATCTCCTCTGTTAAAGTTGAAGAATCAACCATAAACCTTGTGTCCCCGACTGAAAAGAAGGGCATAAACAAGTTTATGGATTATGAAGAACCTGAGGATGAAACCATCCATGCACACTTCATGATGTCAGTTGGAAAACTCATAGAAGAAGCAAAGAAGGTTAATCTGAACAATAGTCTTCTCTGAAAAATCACCATGGCCACTGAATTGGCCCAAGAAGAACACAAGAAGAAACTGAAAGCTGTCCTTCCTGAGGACTACAAGGAGTTCACCTCAGTTTTCAAGAAACCCTCCAATGGAGTCCTTCCTCCATCATGACCCTATGATCATGCTATCAACCTTGCTGAGGACTTTGTCCCCAAGGTGGCTAAAGCATACCCACTCTCTCCCTCTGAAAGAGAGTCCATGGAAAGGTTTGTTGAAGAAAATCTTCGAGAGGGAAAAATCTGTCCCTTGAAGTCCCCTCAGGCTGCACCCTTCTTCTTTGTAGGAAAGAAAGATGGCTCTCTCTGCCCCTGCCAAGATTACTGATATCTGAACACAAATACTATAAAGGATGCCTATCCACTTCCCCTCATTTCAGATCTTGTCGATAAACTCAAGGGAGCATCCATCTTTACAAAAATGGATGTATGATTGGGCTATAACAATGTCTATATCAAAGAAGGAGACCAGTGGAAGGCTGCATTCATCACACACAAAGGCCTTTTTGAACCAACTGTCATGTTCTTCGGACTGTGTAATTCTCCTGCCACCTTCCAATGCTTTATGAATGACTTGTTCTGAGACATGATCACTGAAGGATGGTTGATCATCTATATGGATGATCTCCTCATCTTTTCTATGGATCCTGAAGAACACAAACAAAGAACTTGCCAAGTTCTTGAATGAATGA